CTGTATACATTGGATTGATTTTAATAACTTTAATGTACTGAAAGTGTGCGTCTAGCTCTAAGAAAATACAAGTATCTGATCAGGACTCGGTATCAGCAGATATTCAATATTCAATTTCTCTTATCGGATCGGAGGCACAGAAAACTTGATTGGGACATCCCTGCTCTGGCTCTAGCCAGCGTAGCGGGCCTACAGTAACCTCTAAAGAGGAAGTGTGATGCTTAAAGTCATGCCCATCCCTGGCCCTGAGTGATTTAAGGCTGAAAGTGCTGCAGCTACACTTCCTCTATCAGTCCTGCTCACTTCCTTTGCATATCAACAGGCGGGCCGGGTGAAAATAAGCATGCAGTAATGTGACATTAGAGAAATATCTTCAGATCAGACGTTGAGCCAGAGGTTGGTAAAGGTTGGTCGCATAGTACCCATAGCTGAAGGCAGCAGAGACAAAGTACCAAGTGAAAGGTCAGAGTGGGGGTAAATAGCACAGTGACTACGTCCCCTCCGGAGGGCCTGTAGGCATGGCTGAAGGTGTTTTGTCTCTAGGGACGGTTTTGATGGGAGCATGCACAGAATACCAATCGGCTGCTGTGTCGTCACTGACTTTGAATGGCAGGGGAGGGAGAGAGTTGTTTTTCCGCCTGCCTCACCAGCTTACACTCTGCTTCCTAAATTATTATTATTATTATAATTATGCAAATGCTAGTGCACGTTGTTGATTAGATCTGGGTGGGCTGCAAGCATCTTGTAATAGTATGAGTTGCGTGAATGCAAGGGTGACCTTATACGGTGACCTTGGGGCTTTTACTGTAATCATAGTTAGAGTACACTCTAAATCTTATTTGATGTAAACTGCTATGAGACTCTGAAGGATTATTTTGTCATTGTGTTTTGATTTTTCAACGGATGAAAATTCTAAATTATGACTTTTAGATATGATATTTGTTTTGTAGGATAAACTCTACAACTGGAGAGACACTAATCACTTTCACGTGTTCAAAACAGTTAAATCACAAATTTATCCTAATTGTATATATCCTAACTATATTTACATTGTCTGCTTTTTAAACATCTTTTCACATAAAAATTCATACATCAGCATCAAAACAAGCAGTTATGATGGAATTAGGAAAATGACCTTTAAATTGATTACTGTCATAACCGTCAGATCCTGTAAAATTGTGTTAAATTAAAATTGGGTCATAACTACTACAGGGTCATAACACCCCCTACAGAATCACATAATCAGAAAAGGCCAAATTGTATTCTATTACACTCTGCTGTCTGTGTTATTGGATGACAAAAATGTTAAGTAAAATTTTTAGGATGATCTGCTTCTGCAATCTAACAGGTTTTTTTTTGTACATTTTGAATTGAAAATAGCCTACATACTATTACTACTACCCAATTGCTATTTGTTATTGAATGCGATGAGACCAGAACAATGACAGATGATCTCACGGGACTACCGGGCACTCAGACCGCTAAACAAGAAATCCGAGTGTCGCGCTGCACCACTAAACCCATACACAAATCGAAGCGCTGCTATATTATTATTATTATTTGTTAATAGTCAAAATGCATGACTTGAATAAATTCTAGTACACATGCTTTTCTCTTTGTCAACTCTTTATGTTCATTTAAGACATATTTTTGCTTGTATTTGTCAAGTGCAAAAAGGCGTGGAAGATAACTCAGTATCCTACACTATACACAGTATGAGAGGTGGTTTTCTTTTTGCACAAGTTTTGGAAAGAGTGTGCGGGTCTTCTTGTGCTTGAATGGTTTTAAGTCATTAAAAAGGCATTGATAAGAGGAATCTAAATTTTAATGAGCATCAGAATCTTAGCTTAGATATGTCTTTGTTATATATAAATCCAGTCTTAAGGAAATGTTTTGAAATTGTGAAATTTATTTTAAATAAGTGCACATTTAAAGTACAGAACGAGGGTTGTAAGGTATAGAGGCCTCTTATGTTGGACTTACCAGCTGATAGGAGTTTTATATTCAGCTTTATATTCTGACAGTCTGTTTCCTGTAATGACACATTCTGCTTTTTTACATCCTGCTGAATATATCAGCTCAGCAGCTCATGTTTTTGTGCTGTCTCTAAAGAGAAATATAAGACAAACTCTCTGTCAGTATGTCTGATGTAGTCTATTCTCTGTACAACAGGACGAGATATGTGCAAGTTGTTTTGGTGTGTGTGTTTGTGCGCCAGCCCTACATGCAAACTCTCTTTAGAGAGGGTGTTTGGCTGGAAAGAGGTACCTGACAATTAAGGGAGTCAGAAAGTGGGGATAGAGAAACCTCAGTCACGGCTGACTTCACCTCATAAATATCCCCCTTAAACTGCAGCAAATGAATGTAGGCCACAGGTGTGGGAGTATGTGTGCTGGATCCATGTGCATGTGTTTATGCCTAAGTGTGAGCTTGTTGCTGTGAATACGTGAATTTTTGTGTATATGTGTATCACTAAAATTGTGTTTTGCAGATATGTGCCTGTTTAGTGACCATCTTAAGGGCACAACTTGTGTGTCATATGCTGATTCTTGAGATATAAGACAAAACATGGGACAGATTTGCCTGCCGTTAGTTTTGAGATTGAATTGAAGACCGGAAGTACGTCTTTTAGTAGGGATACGGTTCTTCCGGTTAGCTTTTTACAATGGTGGAGTCTGATAGATACCGCTGGACAAGTGGCTAGAGCTATAACAACACTTGTAACCCTTTCCTCAGTTTTGACGTTTCCACTTGAGAGTTTTCCTTTACCATCCGAACCACATCGTCAAATGTGACTTCAGGCAGGTTGCAGAGAGATTTGGTACACTATTTTTTTTATCTTCTTTAAGCGCAACGGAGCAACTGTGTCTAAATTCCTCGGAAAGAGAGAGACCGAGTGTGTCCGAGCATTATATAGTTTGTTTATAAATAAATTTCAGCATTAGAATAATCTCTGTAGCCTATTGGTATCATCTGCAATGTTTTAATTAATTTACATGGTTATACAAATAAAATCTAAAAAAATGCAGGCAAAGTTCTGGGAATTTGGGTTCTGGGAGCACTTCTTGTTAAACTGTTTATCATTTTTAATTTTCACTACAATGAGTGTATGTATATTATATTATTATTATTTATTCATTTTTGCTACATTTAAGCACAATTTATTTTTTGGTTTATTTGCTGGCCAGTTGTGGTCTGTGCAATATTAAATATTAAAAGTTCTAAATCCTAAAATTTTGTTTTATTGTTTTACTATATTAATGATATTAATTTAATATTTAATCATTTAAAATAATATATTGAATTTTATTGAATTCTCACATTGTCCCACTGCAACATTACAATAGTGTATATTAGTGTACAATGTTTTATAATAATAATTTATTCTATAGTGTCCATTAATTTATCATATTTAATATTGGGTGCATCCAAGTTATTTGACATAGGCCTATTTTAACAGTTTTTTACGCACTAGTTACTTTCCCTGGTAATTAGTTACTTTTATAAAGATTTAACTCAGTTACTATTTGTGGGAAGTAACTTGTAACAATAACTAATTACTTTTTTTCAGTAACATGCCCAACATCGGTCCTGACACGTGTTGTCTAACTTCAATAGAGTTCAGTTTTCATTATCTACATGTGTATTAAAAGCACCAACAATTAGTACTAAAGTCAGCAAATTCTTTGATATGTTATAGCTCTAGCAGTTAGCCAGTAAGGTAAACGTTTCTATGATAACAGCGAGTTGGACCAATCAGCAGACTTTGCTGCTACGCTTAGGATTGTGGGTAGTGTAGTTTTTTTTTCATAAGATTGCGGATAAAACGGATAAAAAGATTTTCTTAAAACAAGGTTGATTTCATACGAACTTAAATGCTTCTACTGGAGCAAAAACCTTTGTTTCACAACCTCATTGCTCGTGGTCAGTCTACCTCGGATGGTTTAGACAATTTAGCTCATAATCTAAATCCTTATTGAGAAATACTCTTGACCGGAAGTTCTGAATCCCTACTCCGCGAGCAGGAAGTGTGACATAAGCTATTTATCAATAAAAATTTTCATCATTGAAATAAATCATAGATTATCACTTGAATGATATGAATACAAATCATTGTCCTCTGACCATAACTTGAAAAGTACATCAAATATTACATTTAATAACAACAGAGGTATACATCTGCATGTTTTAATGAAACATGACATCTAGACTTCTAGAGAGAATTTTTTTCCCTTCCTAAATATTCCTCTTTTAAAAGTTTTCTGACCATTATGAAACATTTTTTAACTTAACTGGTAGGTTAACTGGTCATATCTTGCAAAATCTTCATCCTGAAATGTCAATATTTAACCTTCTATGAGTACAAAAAGTCGCTCAGACAACTTTTCTAGTGAGTTGAAGAATATTTTTTTCTGTATTTTCACTGGTCACAGTCAAGATATGTCAACTCAAAATTGTAAAGAAATGAATAATTTTCCTATGGTTAAGCTGATCTTGATAATAGCAAAAAAAAAAAAAAAGACTATTGTGTGGTGACAATTTAATAGATGGATCTGAAAATCAATTTGAAACCATCATGTTGTCTAAATTATTATTATTTTTTAAATCTGAATGCTAGATTGATCCATATTTTTAATAACTATTTCACTCATTATTTTGTAACAGTCAGTTTTGACATTTATAGAGTGAATGGTGAGGAAAAATCACATTTTGCGAGAAAAATAGAAGCCAGACATTGCACCTGAACATGTTAAACAGCTTACTCCATAATAATTCCTGGAAAGATTTTTATTATAAGAACCTTTTATTTTTGTAGCTTGTTTTGTCTCAGTACTGAAGAATTGGTGGTAGATAAAACTTCTATGGTGTTTTTAACTTCTTTGTTCTTATATACTGTAAGAACATTTTCTCACATTATGTTATTTTAACACACACTCAGGTTTGTATTTATTTATTATGTATTAGTATTTTGTTAATCTTGGTTTTAATTTCTCTTTCAGAGGTTCCCTCCTCAGGAATGGCTAAGAATGGGTACTTCTATCAAGAGATGGGTGAGTAGATGTTTGTAGGAGTTGATTCATGTGTGTTTGTTTGTTCAGTACTTGGCCGGGAGGAGAGGTGTGAAGGTACATTTGGGAGTAAAACACAGGCAGAAGGACACTCCTTCCTACAATATTTAAAGCATGCCTTTATTTCTGACTTGCAGGAATATTCAGATTGTAACATTTCTGTATTCCTCATCAGCATCAAAGAGAGACAAATTTTCCACAACATGTTCTGCTGCTAAAGCAAAATCCCAGCAAAAAAGTGTCTCTCATCTTGTGGCTGGATGATGTTGTCAGTTAAATAAAATGCATAAAATTTGTTAGTGCAAGTAAAGCTTGTGGCATGTTCAGATACCCTCAGAAGCCATTTCCGAAATCACTATTTATGTCATCTCTCTCTCTCTCTCTCTCTCTCTTAGTTCAATTCAAGGGGCTCTTGTTTTTACGTACTGTATAATTATAACAAAGTATGGGGGGTATTTTCAATAAATTAGTTAATTTGTTCATGAATAGGCTTGCAGTGAATCAGACACTTATGAATATGATCAACCACGGTGCTTTGAGCTTGAAAGAGCGAGCGAGAAAAGGGAAAAAAGGGGAGCGCCGTCGTCGGGGAGAGGAATATCCTCTGGCCCGCTCACCGTAGGTACAAGGTGGTAGAGTCAATGAGCACACATGGATTAACAGCCCCCTCTCCTCTTCAGCTTTACATAGAGAATAATAGAGGGAAGGATTAGTGAATAAATGAATAGATGAAGAGAAAGATATGGAACCGATAGCCACTCACATGCCACATTCAGCCAGAGAACCGAGGACAATAACGAGCTGCCTTGTGTGGATAAATCACAGCTTCAGCCACACTCCGGCTGCACTGTCACATCTGTGGGGTATTAAACCCTGAGAACACTCTGTATATAACAGAAAAAAGAGAGAAATTAATGGATTATTGTTGAAGCCTTTGTTGTTTTTGCATTGTAACTGGCCCTTATTGGTGCTGAAAAATCAATTCAGATGTAAACGAATTAATTAAATGTCAGTACAGCATATTAAATATGAATAATATATTACAATATAGAATATACTATGCTGTGCTACACTGTTATCCTGTAAAATTATATACGTATATTTCATTGAGTGATATAATGTCACTATACTAAGCTACTTAAAGTATACCAAATCCAACTTTTTACCTTAAATTGTACCAATAACTACCATAATAATAATAGGATGTAAAATAGAAATCCACATGATGAATCAGAGTTTATTATTTTAACAAAAATGTGAAAAAGACAAATTATTTGTATAAAATGCAATAATATGTACTGTTTTTCACAGTAAATTATAGAGTAATTCAGGTTTTACTTTCAAAATGCATACATTTGACAGTATTTTACAATTACATATGTGATGTCAAACTGTATATAGACTGAGGATGTTGTGTATGTGTGTGTCTGTATAAAAACGTGTTAAAAATACATAAAGATTGAGGCTGTGTGTGCGTGCATGTGTGCGTGTGTGTGAGAGAGACAGAGAGAGTGTGTGTGTCTGTCTGTCAGAGTAAAAAAATATTACATTTGTTTAAAAGTGTATATAGATTGAGGCTGTTGTGTGTGTGTGTCTCCCTCTTAGAGCAGAGGGAGAGAGAAGAACATGAGGAGGGGAGCGAGGAGCGAGAGGAGGGCCAGGACTCTCCCATCCCATCAGGAGATGACATTCATCTCTACGGCAACCAGACACACCAAGGAGGAACAGGTCAGTGAATTTGTGTGTTTGTGAGTGAGATGGCAGGGTGGGATGGCAGTTTAGACCCAGAGCTGTTGATTAGCTCTGGAGATGCTCAGGTTAGCAGGTCAGCTGTCACCACGGCAACAGTCTCAGGTGTGCGGTGATTACGTCGAGGCACCCCCCCCACCCACCAAACCCACATGGTGACAGGTCACCTCTTGTCACTCAAAACCACACAAGTCTTCTCTTTCTGTCTTCACTCTGTGCAGCAAAATGTAATCAAAGGTGACAATTGGAAAAAAAAAAATATCCATTTTAATTTACTCATATGCAACCCAAATAATTGCTATGAAAACCCTGAGAAACATAATTTCAAGTGTGCAAAGAATGTTTTAATCATAATCATAAAATTTCTGTTTTTTTTGTTTGTTTTGTTTTTGTATATATAAACATTTCTGTTTATTGATCGAACTCTTACTTTAAATCAGATGGGATGCCAGCAGTACTGGAACCACCAACTGACATTTTATCCAGAAAGTTGCCAATACATTTGTCTAAATCCATAATGAAGGTTCACCAGGCAGCTCAACTAAAAATGTATTTACATTAGGGGTGCCCAATCCTGTTCCTGGAGATCTACCTATACCCGCAGAGTTCAGATCAAACCCATGTGTTTCTGAAGAACTTTATTAGCTGATTCAGTTGTGTTTGATCAGGGTTTAAGCTGAGGTTTGCATGAAGGTATAGATCTGATTGAGCTGATTTACAGTATTTAACAAAGGTCAAAATAAACGAGGAGAAATAATAATATACCACAGTCAAAAACTTGAGATTACAAAAAACAAAAAAAAAAAAAAACAGTAGGCAATTTGCAGGGTAATTTTTACAGCAGTGTGAGAGATAGAAAACACACAGAAAGGATTAAATCACAAAATGTGTCTGTGAAATAGACATTTAGCTAACATCCTCAGATAAAATTAGTCTTGTCCGAAACCCGAAAGCCGCGTCTGAAAAAGGTGTGTTTACACAAACGTTAAAGTACTTAAAGGATTAGTTCACCCAAAAATGAAAATTCTGTCCTTAATTACTCACCCTCATGTTGTAATTTGTGTTCCGAAGATGAACGAAAGTCTTACGGGGTTGGAACAACATGAGGGTGAGTAATTACTGATTAGAATTAGAAGTAGATTTTTCATTTTGTTTGGGTGAATTAATCATTTAAATACCAATTAATCATGAGTCTCGAAGGTTGGTTGTTGAAATGTATATATGTATATAAATCTAGCATGAAATGCATATATATATATATATATATATAATTTTACCCATGTTTAAATATCACCGCCTATTCAACTTTCCTAATAAACAACAAAAGTGTACAACTATGGTGAGCTGATCACAAATCATTTACATGTTAGAAGATTTATAGTTGAAGTAGCAAAAATATACTTTTTTAATAAGCACCAGAAAGAGGCTGGATAATAGCCGTGTAAAACTAGAACTGTTTTAGGTGCAACAAAGCCCAACTAACATTATAATTGGACTTAAAGTAGAAAAACATGTTACAATATTGCCCTATTAAAGATTTCTGCTTCATTTACTGTTTTGGAAACAGAAAACAATTAAACTTTATAATTTCCTATGGATGATGGATGATTAGGGATGCTATCTGCCCTTAACGCGCTGCTGCTGTTGAAAGTGAGCACAGTTTCAGTGATATCAGTAGACTGGTGACCCAGAATCAGACAAGGATATGTTCTCTCTCTGTGTACTCAAATACTGTTAGTTCTGTTAAATTCTCTTTTCTGCGTAAATGACTCCTGCTGTGCATTTGGTGGGCTCACATTAGGATGGGTGGGGTTTGTTCACACGTTGTCTCATCCAGTCTGATGTTCTGTCAGCCTCAGAGTACAAGCCGTCAGCACTCGTCTAGATTAAAACCAAGTTCCACTCCTCTGACACTGCTAAGAGCTTGCTAAGATGCATGTGTGTGTGTGTGTGTGTGTGTGAATATTTTTAAACCATGGCCTTCAAACATTTCGTTTTAAGTTATAATTCCCCTGATTTCAGCAATTGGCTGGACCAAACACCCAGGCACGTTATTTAGCAAACTGCTGGGTTTTTAATGCTACTTGATTAGTGGGGGTGAGGCAGAGGTGAAATAATTACACACTGCAAAAATACAACAAATATTACCTAATGTGAATTCAAATTATGTCTTAACCATTGGTTTTCCTAAAGTAACAAGGTCCCACACCAATCAATAGAGTTTTAGAAGGAGGCTACCTTGAGCATGTTGTGTTATTGTTGAAGTCTTATAGCCAGGGTTTCCAGGGGGCATTACAAGTAATTAAATGGATTTTGCGAAAATTAAGGCCTTAAATAGCATTAAAAAGCATTACATTTTAATTCTACAGGCATTCAAAATTTAGATGTAATGTTATACTATCAATTTATTTGAATACAGCCTTCATAATTGATATTTTTTATTTTCTATCGCAAAATATGTACGTAGTGTGATAAACACGCGGAAAAAGTTTGGTTATTGCTTCCTGCCGGAGCAAAATTGCCGTGATGCGGGCATTTTGTACAGCGGTGGATAGCAATAAAACTAGACCAGATAAAATGGGACGGCGCAAATTCCATTAGAAGTGGATATTTAACACAATTAATGCAGCATCCGTTCATTTTAGTCATCCTTTGTCAAGCTTTACATTATATGACCCTGCTCTTATTCATGCAAATACTTTGAACCTGAACTTGGCATGAACAAACAGTAACACACACAATTATGCCAAAATGCCTGTTCTGTCGAGTATCCTCATAACATAAAAGCAGTCTAAGCTGAAACCAATCCATTCATATGAGGAATTGGAGATTGTTTTACATGCCTTTGTTAGATTATTGTAATGCTCTTTATCTAGGCATAAGTGAATCACTGGTTACTCGTCTTCAGCGTGTCCAAAATGCTGCAGTGAGATTTTTAACAAATACCAGAAAATGGGATCATAGAACACCTGTATTGATATCTCTTCACTGGCTACCTGTTAAATACAGAATACAATATAAGGTGTTAATGTTTGTTTTTGAAGGACATGAAGGACATGATAATCCCTTATCAGTCTCAACGTCACCTACGCTCCTCTCTGAACATGCTTCTAACCATCCCACGGTCTCGCTTGAGGCGTAGTGGAGATCGTTCCTTCTCTGTAGCGGCTCCTGCACTTTGGAATGGGTTGCCATTATCTCTAAAATCCTCATCAAGCATGGTTTTTTTTAGAAAGGACTTGAAGACTTATTTATTTCATCAAACTTTTGGCATTTGATTAGGTCTGAATATTGTGAGTGTTTTGTGGCTTGATTGTCTGGGTGTGAGTATAGCAACTGTGAGTGATTTGTGGTTTGATTGTCTGGGTGTCGTGTCTTGATGTAATTTTACGTGTCTGTATTTTATAGATATTTATTACTTGTGGACAGCACTTTGGGCCATTTTAATGGTTTTGAAAGTGCTTTATAAATAAAAGTTGGGTTGAGTCTTAAATAAATGTGAAGAGAATGAGGCGCGTGTGAGATCCACAACTCTGTTATCAGTGGCTGGTCTTAAAGGGACAGTAGGCACTTATTATGCCTGTCAGTAGTTAATCAAAGAACAAAGGGAATCGAGAAAATCAATAACTGTTCTTGATTGAAGAACTTTTGTAGCTTTAATAAGGATTAGTCCAAGATTAGAAACCCTGTATGGCATACCGTAAATGTGATGGGAGAAGAGTGAAATACATCCTTCTTAGCAGCACTACTATTTTTCCACAAAACGTTTTTGCCGGAATGGGTGGAAATGGATGAACTAGTGTCAGAATAGGATCAAAACTATTTGTTTTGATTCAGATCAAAACTATTTGTAAAAAAAAATTCACAGCTCGGTAAAATGAAAATTCATCACCATACCCACAACCTTCTCCACATTCTTAGTGCTTTTTGAGGATTTGTTAAAAGAAAAAAGAAAAAAATCAACATACAAAACTGCTTTGATAAAAAAAAACTTTGATAAAAAAATATGTTTCTTGACCACAAAATCAGCATATTACAATGATTTCTGAAGGATCATGTGACACTGAAGACTGGAGTAATGATGCTGAAAATTCAGCTTTGTCATCACAGGAATAAATAAATTTTACATAAATAGAAAATTTATTTTAAATTGAAATTGTAATAATATTTTTAAATATTACTGTTTTATTTTTTATTAAATAAATGCAGCCTTGGTGAGCATAACACTGTGTCCTAACCAATGAAACATGAATTCATATTAGACTACAGTAAACACAGAGAGGGGCTTTGCCTCCTCATTTCAGAAGACCACGGGGGTGAGCACATGTCCGACTATTAACAGCCTCCGGCAAATCATTGATGCTATTTTGATTGGATGTGGTTTTGAGAACTGGCTAATTGCTGAATTCTCTTTGGATTAGGGTTTGCACCAGTGTAGTCTGAGCTCAATTAATGCTGCTTTTTATCTCATGTTAATACAGTGGTTTTGAGTTTTATACCCAGCAACTCACTGAGCTTTAATTGGGTGCTCAGATATTGCGGTGTGTTTCAGTTCAACATGAGATGACCTCACATAATTATTAAATGTATTTTGCATACTCGTAAACATCTGAAGATACAGATGACACGTAGAAAAGTGATAGAAGGATTGAAGAGGAGAGAATACAAGAACCTGTTTCACATAGTGACTATAAGCCATTAAAAGGTTTTCAGAGAGGTTATATAACCTTATTAGTTTAACACATAGACTTACCTCTTATTAAAACCCAAAGTTGTCCTTTTAAAGTGGTGCTTTTATTCTCAAATTGCCCATTTTAATCCCAAACCCATCCGAGGGCCTTTTTAATCTTGGAGCTAAGGCAGTGGAGGAGTCAGCCGTGGGTCGTGGTAATCCTGCCTGCCCTGAATATCTCTTTCCAGAGGCAGGACTTCTTGCAGGCCACGCGCATAACTGAGGGATTTCTATTTGATAAAGGCAGTCTGCTTTATATAATCTCTATATGGAGGAAGACTTAGCATGCAGCCATCATGTGAGGGTTGCAAGCTGAACCTGCAAACCTGAGGACAATAGCAAACATGAATTAAGCAAATAAAGGACAGGCAGGGACACGGGAACACACACATGTGTGTACACGAGTTTATCCTGCCCCTTCAAAGTTTGGATGATACTCGTGATCCATGGAGTATGCTGTGATGCATTTTATGATTACAAATAAACAGTGTTGTGGGAGTGATATTTTGTTTTGTATTCAGGAACTGTACTCATTTCATAGCAGATATTTGTGATGTTGGGTTACATCGAGGAGATCACAATAGGGGCTCTCTGATGTAGACGGATTTTATGTTCACTGTTGCTGTTTTTTTAAAAACACTTTTATGCTATTAGAGTGTTTTCTCTGAAACCAGTTGTTCTTAAAAGCTGCTTTATGATGGTTGTTGTTTTGGCACACAGCATTCTTGCCTTAGGCTTTCCCATTCTCTCTCTCCTACAGAATCTGATGTCCATGGCTGTGTGCTGCTTAACACTTCTCGAAGGGTGAGACTTTTTCATTACCACTGTTGGGGAAAGTTTCCTTTTAAAAGTAATGCATTACAATATTGTGTTACTCCCTAAAAAAGTAGCTAACTCCATTACTTAGTAATGGAAAGTAATGTGTTCTGTTACTGTTGCGTTAGTTTATCTTATCTGGGCTGGGCTTGATTGTTTGGTTTTTAATTACAAAAAATATACAGGGTGTTTCACACCAGAAGTGAAATGAATAAGCCTCAGGCTGAAGGAAATGCAAATTCACGCCAGTACAGTTGAGCGTGCAGCTCAAACAAACATTTCAGCTGTTCTGCCATTCCGGATTGCAGAAACTTGAGAAAAAAGGTTCTACTTTTATTTCACCAATAAAAAATAAAAAATTAAACACAAATGTGAGGTTTATCTGAAGTCATTTTTGCTTATCAGTATGGTTAAAATCTGCAGTTTTTCATCTTTGTTGCCATCTCTGTTCGAAATCTGCAATTGCAGTTATTTGTGGAATTATCAACTCTACGTGAGTTGTAGTTCAACACCGCGCAGCGTGGATGAACACAATGTTTGAGGAGACTGTGTTGCTGTCAGTCACCGCACTGGTGTGGATACTGACATTCAGAATCACAGATTATTCTTTTTGGAAGTATGAGCAACATAATAATTTTCACTGGAAAATGTCATCCAAACAAGTAAGTTACATCCACTTTTGTTTTAGTTCTGACATTGCAGTAAATTGCGCTGATTAAAAAAAAAAATGCTTATCATATCACGCAAAACCATGCAAATTATACTTTGTTCTCAAATTGTTAATGTTAACAACGTCAGCATTGCGTGACTACATGTAATGTCCTTCCGATATGTATCCCTGGTTTCGCATGCAGTCTTTTTTTCTGTAAGTTAGCCACTCCGAAGTCTGAACGAAGTCTTTTGCATTTTACAGCAGGTGAATCTGTTGTCACTGGTGATTGTCGTTTGAACCTTTCTGGATCCGCCATCAAATTGACAAGTTTAATTATATCAAGTGCTGTGAGAAAAGCCTATAAATCTCCACCTCCAACATCCTCGCACTCATAGCCTACTATCCGAGACTCCTTTATGTGTAGAGATGTGACGTAATGACACAAAGACATGCTCGAATCTCCCGTGGAAATCCACCAGTACCACTGGAATTCAAAATATTATTACTAGCTTACCGATTTGAACATTAGCTGGTTATGTATTTTCTCAAAAATCTATTTTGGATAATTTTTTAACCCCCCCCCCCCCAAAAAAAAAGCTACGGACTGCAGCTTTAAATTGGATCATCAAAGGTCAACAGCAATGAGATTGCTTTATAAATTGAGATTGAATACATTAAAGTATATTTGTGTAATTTAACATATTAAATTATTGGAGGTTTGCATAATTTTCTTTCTTTTCTTCGGGAGTTTGCATTCACTGTTTTTATTCATTTTAAGAAATAATGAATTTGATCTGTGCAAGTGAAAAGTAAACTTATTTATAAAGTATTTACAACTGTTATGCTGACAATTTAATTTGTAATTTATAGTATGGTAATAAATTAGACAAGAATCCAAAATATAAGTATTTCTCAGACTTTTTGAACCCTATTATATATTCAATATCCCATTCATACATATAAAATACAATGCAGTTTGCCATAACTTATTGCTTTAATCAGTGTTTCTAAGATCTTAACCTATAAGTAAACCTATAAGGACATTTTTAATTAGCTTTTTTTCTAGGAACATGGAAATTTCTATAATGAATAAACTTTTTCATATTATGTTGAGCTGTAAAATAGAACAGCTGCTAGAAATTACGTTTGTGTAGAGTAATACTTAGTCACAAGCGATTGTGCAATGTATGAGTGAATCAATATTTGAGTCATTTTATTTTAGTGATGCAGTCAAAGTGATATTTTTTATATACTTATGATTATTGTATATACATATATAAAATATGGTATCCAGCATTATCAAATGAATAAAAGTAATTGTTTAAAAAATTTCGCAAACCCTGTTTAATATGTGAATATAAGACATTTGTAAGTTTTCTTTTTTCTTTTTTTGTAGACATTTTTAGCATTGCTTGCATGTTCCTCTATGTGTCCTCTCAGTATGTGAAGCTGATGAACTTCGAGGAGGAAGTGAGAGCTCACAGGGATCTGGATGGGTTTCTGGAGAGGGCCAGTATTCTGCTGCACGAGGACGAGGCCTCTCTAGATGATGTGTTAAAGACAATGCTCCGCCACGTCTCACAGGACCCTCACACCGCTGAGCCTGGCTGCAACTTCGAGGAGATCATGAGCTCACTCTTCACAGACGCCGGGTCACAGGAAGTCAATGGTGAGTGAGTTTGTTTCTATTTGTGTGGTATTTCATGAAAAGCTCATGAAAGGTTGCTTAGTACCTCAGAGAGTTGATTTGACTGACACCTCAAAGGATATAAGCACAACAGTTTGACGATAGTCAATGTTATTTTAATTTAAATTGCTTTATAAATCATAATACAGATTTTACATATCAAAGGGTCTGAAGAATGAGCAACAGAGGGAACTGTGCAGAGACAGAAGGAAAAAGAAGTTTCAGCAATAATTAAGTCCATTTCCATCCCTGCTGACCCAATGGCTTTAAAACTTACTCTAGGATGTGTCAGAGAGATGACTTGCTCTGAATGACCCTATAAAGGGAAGTCAGCTGATAATAACACTATTCTGTCCAGTCATTCACACATTAGACTCGCTGGAATGGTCAAGTCTTCCCAGATGGAGTTGAATAAAATAGAGACGAATCACAAAACTTAAGCTGAGGGTTGAGTTTGGAAGAGCTTTAAGGCAGGATCGGCTGGAAGAAAAATACAATATATATGAAATATAAATTAGTACAAATTAATGTATAATTCAATATTGAGGATATAAGATAATTGAAATGATTGAATAGTTAAAGATAGGGTAGGTATGTAATTTTGGAGGGGCTAGCAATAGCAAATTAGCATTAGATCTAAAATTGAAAGCATTAGATCTTCAGAGTGCCTCCTTTAAAACACATGAACTCTGAGTCTGCAAAGCGTCACAAGATGTTTTAAATTACCTCATGTCTCAAAGCACATAACATTAGAATAATAATGAACGTAAACTACTTACAGAGCTCTTACTTGTACCATCTGACTGCTGCAGATTTATTTTGCTGTTGATAGTGTTGACGTAGAAACACATAAATCCGAGTCTGAGGATGTGAACGGCTCCGGGTAGAACATCATGGGTTGTCATCTCGTTATTATGGTTACAACATGGCATGAACACAGCATAAGCTCGTTGTTTTGGTTCAGTGGTTCCCACTGCTGTTTGTATGCAGCGCTCTGTGACTGTCTACAACTCTGCATAGCCTTACAGAACGTGCCGATGTCTGCGCGAGCAGGGTGCTTGATAGGTAGAACATTGTATCATTGCATTTGGAAGAACATTTTTTTGGTCCTATGTGGCAAGAAGGACGGGGCCAATTGCCATGGAACAGAGCGAGGCCAGTGGTAAGAGGGGGGGGGGGGGTAAGGGAAGATGAGGAAAGAGAAAAAGACACGCTGGACGGAGCTCTAACTCCTCCGATGCCTGGTGGACGGCAACAGCTCCTCTGTGTTCGGGTCGCCAGCGATGAGTCCCCAGTTCCTTACTCCTCCCCCATCATGGCAGACGGCAGCAGGCTCTGACCTCAGACCTCAGCCAAACAACAGCGACTCCTTCACTCCATCTCAGACGGCAGTCGCCCCTCCACAACCCAGGAGGCCAGCAACAAGCTAGTCCATCCTGGTAATTCAGGAGAAAAAATCTCCAAATGCTTCACGTGAAACTGCGGTCTTCCTACCTTTTGCTATCGTGTCAATTGATTTTGATTAATATGTGCGAGGGAGAGAGAGCAAGACAGCGCTCGTGTTTGAAGATTTGAGAGTGCGTGCTCGCGGCCGGGGCGCTATTCTACATCACTATTCTATTCTACATCACTCACCGATCAAAATAGGCTTTAGTGGGACAAAAACAGATCCAGGCCTTTATTTACCCAAACCTGCAGCCACACCAGACGTGTAAAAGAGACAGGCGACTAGTCGAGGAGACTCGACTATTATTTGAAGTTTTACGGTAATATGAGTCTTTTTCTAAAGTATTTGAAGAGTTTGGGGAATACCTTTTTCTATTACAGCATGACTGTGTGCGTCAGTGCACAAAGCAAGGTCCTTAAAGACATTGTTGGATGAGTTTGGTGTTGAAGAACTTGACTGGCCCACACATAGCCCTGACATCAACGCCATCAAACACATTGGGAATGAACTGGAATGGAGATTGTGAAGATTGCGATTGGAGTCTTGTCCAACATCAGTGCCTGATTAACTGGATGAATGGGCAAAAATTCCCACATAACTCTCCAAAATGTAGTCGTGGAAAGCCTTCACAGAAGAGTGGAAGCTGTTATAACTGCAAATGTATTTAGAAGGCAATGCCATTACAGTCCCTGTTGGTGTACAGTCCCATGTTTAGGTATCCCAATTTTGTCTAGTGTATTTTATATATAGTGACTACACAATGAGAGTGTTTTTGGAAAGATAAAAAGCTCATCTCTTGATATATTCAGATTTAAAACCCCTGTATTTACAGCGAGTACATTTTCTTTGTCATCTCTTATGAGAGATGAGGGTAAATGAAAACTTTCGTTTAGAACACAGGTTGTCTTATGATATAATTGAATGTCTTTGTTTATCACCCCTGTTAATTCTCACCACTAGACAATTAGTTATTTTCTATCCTGATGATTAGATGTGTACTTGTTGCTCACATATTCATTTGATACTTGTCTGAGTTTTTTCCGAAGGATTTCTTTAAAAAAAAATCACTCTAATAAATTAAATAGTCTTGACAACACACGGCATCATGTAAATCTATCGGGCTGCATGAATGTGTCATTTCCCTCTGAGATTTTCACGAGTTGACAGCATGCTTTTTTGGGATTGTATTGATCGTTTGCGGCTCACAAGTAATCTCTGTATTCTTATCATCATTGCCAAATTCACACTGAATACACACAGAATATAACTCGTTATCATGGGCACCAATTAAGCCTAGCCCTGGACTTTACTGTATCACCACTCTGATCCGGACTAACATCGCACCTAATTTTTGCACAGACACTGCCGGATTGTATGAATGGTGAGATTTAAATTATGGTTGATTTTTTTTCTTCTAAGGATGATACATTCTCTCTTGTCCCTCTGTTGCTAGGAGACATAGCTCACATGTGAGCGAGAATCATATTAATGATATGAGCCTGGGAACATGCAAATGAACTGATGTGTGATTGGATTATGAAATGTGAATGTCATGAATATTATAATGTATGATCATTTGGATGAGAATCCATGAATGGGATCTAATTGTGAGCGCATTGATCGTATGTGGATGCGTCAGGCATTTAACACAAACACACGTACACTTGCACGTGCAACCTAAAGTCTATCAGTCTGAAGATCAAATTAGAATGAAATGCTAAGATGCAAGCCCAATGAAAGATGGAGAAAAATCATATTTCATCTGAGTAAAGAGACCTGAGCATCTGCCTGACAACCCAGCCCCAATTAGTGAGAGAGGGAGGTTTGGTGTGTCTGTGTGGGTGGTGGGTTATCTGAATTGGTGTCTGAGAGACATTTCACTCTTTCTGCTTGCTTTTAGGGTTCGTAACATGTGTTTCTGTGCTCAGCCTAACTTTAACTCTTTCCAATCTGAACTCCGTTTCTGTGTGTGTTTGTGTGTGGCTCTGTTTTGTCTCTGATTCTCTCGCACAGACAGGTCGCAGAATTTCATTTTCTATGACGACGGTAAGAATGATATGATCAGATGTGGGATATTATACACAATTCATGTTTTTCCCTGACTGCTGGTGTTTCCACTGGATGTGATTGACATGTACCATTAGTCCAACAGACATGCGAGTCTCTGTTTTCTTATTCAGATCCATCAATTTACTGCATTTTCCAGTTGATGCAGTGACACAATCCAATTCGAAATCAGTATCCACACATTTTAAATGACAAGATTTGGTGTGTTTTTTTTAAAAGAGCTGATGCTGAATACAGAGCGATTCCCTTCCCCGTGGTGGTGTGTTAGATTGGGCTCTATCATCGTCTCTCTCTCATTCCTGCCTCATTGCCGTTCGGCTGATTGGCTGTGCATGGATTCCACTGTTGTGATTGAAAAGTCCACTGTCATTCTGATGTCTTTCTCTGCATAATATTAATGCAGCACACACACACACACACACAAGGAGTGAAAATACTTTTTAATTTCTTGAGGAAAAGTCTTTAGAGTGTATGAATAAAAGCATCTCATTTCATCCTGATGTCCAGGCCTCAGGCAGTTATCAGAAGGGGTGAGGTAGGGTTGGCTTAGATGTTTGGTTGAATGTTAATGCATGTTTTTCAGGAGAGGATGATATAGCTGAACAGTTTATTTGTTAAATCAATTAATATTCATCTTAGTACTGTATTTGTTCTGAAAGGCTAAAAATACAGCAATAATTAAATAACCACAACTTATTTTCTATAGTGTAGCTCACCAAATTGACCAAAGTAATGATAAACATCTAATATATAATGCATCACGACAGTTATAACCATAATATTATAAATATAATAATACTAAATGCCATCATTTATAGAGATAAAGATTATAATATAATAGCTTCTAAAGCATTTTAAAGAGAGTAAAATGCCACACAAGGAAGTCTGTTAATACTTTTGTGACAAATTGTTGACTTATCTATTCTACTATTATAATTTGTTTTATTTGAATTTGTTTTGATTTTAGTATTTTCCAATTTTAAATATGAATGTAAAGTTTTAATAATTTTGTTGTGTTTTTGTCATTTTTATTTGTGAATTTTTTTTAAATGACTATAATATTTAATTTTTTTTATTTCAGTTTTAGTGTCCGTGTTTAAGACAAGTTGTACATCAAGCTAAACTAAATGAAAATGATAAATATTGCTTTTACAACTACCTGAAATTAAAAAGTTTTTTTTTTTTACTTTCAGTAAAGATTTTTTTTTTTCACAAACAAGTGAATTTTTTAAATGGGTTTAGCTTCAGCTTTCATCACAAAAATGTTCTATTTTTTTTTATAAATAACAAAATAATATGAAATATTGTAAATAATTAATATGTCATAAGTGTATGCCTTTATGGCCGCGCACAACATGCATCATTGTACTTTTTTTTGTTTGTTTGGGTTTTTCCACGAACACACCAAGTATACAATTATCTTGTCCCCATGCCAATCAATAGTCTTCACATTGCCCTGTATTGCTCCATTGATACGTTTCCATATTTTTTCCTCTCCTTCTCATTCTTTCTCTCTTCCTGTCTATTTCTCGATGGTGCTGAGTGTGTTGTCATGGTGATACCCATCTGTCCACGGTGTGAGTGTGTGATGTCTTATTGATGAGACAGTGTGACTGTGTGCCAGAGACATCCATCCTGCCTGCTAAACAGCACACTATCTCACACACGCACACATACATAGTCACATACATTCACATATTGTTTTTGCTAGTCATGCTGAACAACTCATATCTGTCACCTCTGCTGGATAGAGGGCATATATACACAAACACACATACATACTTTTACACTGCTTGTTGTTAATATGCTGGACAGCTCACACATACGAGAGAGAGGGCGCATACATAGACACACAGATTGATTAATTTGAATTAAACATTTGGTGCTGTTCTTGGAAAGGTCTTCATTGTCACTCACGCTGGCTGCAGTGATGTGTATTGTCCTCTGGTGAGCTTCTGCTTATGTTCTACCTTGATATGCATTTGCCTTTTCATAGAGATGATTATTACCAGTGCCTCCATCAATTCACATCCTCTTGTTTGTTTTATTTTTGTGTGTCACCATATACAGTGAAAGTCAGTTGACTTAATCTTGGTGTCGAACTTGTGAGGGAGTAGTTAGTCTCACTACTGTTCTTCGTGTTCCATTCACACTTGATGTGCAGTACTTTTGAAGTGGCATCCAGATTGCAGTTAACTTGAAATTATTTTTTTTAGTTTTCTTCTTCATGTTTTCTTCTAGTTTTCTTGTCTGTAGTGCCCACCCAGTCATGACTGACCCCTTGCCTTCTCTCCTCACAGTGCATCTATTGTCAGAGACGCTGCAGTGTGTGACGGCCACAGCCACAGGGATCCAGTACCAGCAGTCCTGGCTTTGCATCCTGTGAGTTACCTGGATCTGTCTTATCTGTAACTTTAAGCCTGGAGCTGGGGTGTCTGATGAAAAATGCCACAAGATAGGAACAATTGTTTTTCCTAGGGATGCCAATTTAACATTGCGTTATTAATTAAAGTATAAACACTACTGTTTGAAAGATTGAGGTTAGTATGATTTTTTTTTTAAAGAAATCAATAATTTTATTCAACAAGGATGCAACATTTATTTAAGAAAATACATAAATAATATATCTACCAGAATAGCTTTTCAGTGTAATAGTGGTAGATCCTCTTTCCATCCAGTATAAATAACAACAAATAGAATATTTTTTATTAAAGTAAAATTATTGATAGATGCTCTTCACACACAGTGCTATTTGTGCTAAAGTTAAAAGACTTAGTTGTAACAAACACACACAAAGTTCTTGACATTATCTTTTTTTCGGATTTGGATGATCGTGAAATCCTGTCTCTTTTGTCTCATAGCATCCCAGACATTTACATGTTTCTTTGTTGCAGCAATTATTGCATGGGTGTTTATGAAATTCTTTTAAATAATTATAGTTGGCCAACTCCTGTACTGAAGCAACACTTGTCATTTATCAAAATAAAATGATCCCCGACAAACCCTATTTGACATCTGCAGGTCATGATTAGGTTCTGATGATTCATCTGCTTTGTTTCAGAGTTCTCAAGATCCGCCAACACCTTTTCTTTCTCAATGCTTTTGCTCAATAGCTGCCAGAACTTTTATCAACAGCCTCCAAACTGTAGTAGTGTCAAGCAGCAGCCAACATCAGTGTGCTAACAAGTACAACTAACAAGTGTAATTTTCTCTAGACACTCCCTGTCAAACTTAACCAGCTGCTTTTTTTGCTACTATATAGATTGTGCTGTGCCACATTTAAATTAAGTCATTTTCTTTTCTTTATATGCAAATACGGTGTTGTATTGAATGCTACTGCTGTTACAACCTACTTAAAGCAAGTGGCAATACTTAATTTTATATAAAACAGATACTTATGCATATTTTTTAGTAATAATGGCTGCAATGATTCATTCAGTTATGACAAAATTAAGAAGAACAGCATTTTAACCGGGCTCAAATCCAAAAAACATGGTGTAGTTAAGTGCACTTTGTGCATTTTAAAGAATATAATCAGATGACCCGTAAAAAAGCACTTTGTACATTGTAGAAATATTTTTCTTTCTATAGTTGTACTGGTTTTTGCATTGTACTTTTGTTCTACTATTTAATCTGATATTGGAGAGTGGCTAATATTGTCCATTCCTAGATGATTATTTACATGTTTACCCATTTGTCGGTTTAGGATGGATGGATGGATACATAGATTTATATTGTAATTAATTTTTGACTGTTGATTATGATGAGCTGTCCGTGGGAGGGGTCAAGTCTCATCCTTAAGCACTTCAATTATTGACAGCAAGCTAAATCTGTTTACTTATAACACTCTAATTTATTATATTAGCTTTATTAATTCCAGAGATCGTGAATCAAAAGTCATTGAAGACTTAGACCCTCTCTAAGGTCAGAACAAAGACTCACAGTAAGGAAAACACAATAAAAAAGTCAGGTTCATCCATTTGCAATAACCCACACTAGCCTAGTGAACAGAAGATTTGTTTTTCTTTGAATTATGTGCAGACAATTTTATGGGCAAGAAAGGGAAACAAGTGGCAATGTCCGATGACCCACAGCAGCTCTCTGGCCTCAAGGTTACCAAAGTCCTTACAGAATGGCACAACAGCTTTCGCATGTTCTAGAAGAGACTATCCCATTCTTCTTTTCTGAATTCTCTTTTGTTCTCAGTACATTGCCTGAGTTTTATGGCCACAAGCAGGTGTCATGAGTATTAGCTGGGCCAATGAGACTGATTCAATGCCCCTGTTGCCAGGGTCTGAGTTTGGGGCCGGTTATTAATGTGTATTTTAAGTAAATTAGATGTGGAACAGTTAATTGTTACATTTTGTTCCTTAGACCAGCTTTTATGGTTATATTTGACTTGATTTATTAAAGCATTGAGTTATCCATTTTAATATACAGTAGTTGATTGTGTTGATATTAACTTCATAATTGGTGGCAGCAAGCGTGAAACACTTTTTAACTTTATAAGCGTGAAAGAGAACAGGAAGGGCCTTTTTCCGAACCGGAGAACCAAATATTACTTTGACACCCCTGTTCAAGAGCTTTCTGTAATCCCATTAGACCTCAACCAATGGATTTGTTAATCTGTTTGCTGTACTCCTGTTGCATATTGAATTAATCTGATACTGTGCCAGGTATATTAAAGCACTATGTAAATTGTAAAGAGGATTTATGATGATTTATGAACTCTGTGACAGCTGCAATGTGAAGAACCTGCAGAGGCGGCACGTGTGTATCTCACGCCTAGACCGTCCACAGAACTGGGGGGAAAACTGTGCAGAGGTCCGCTATGTTATCCTCATTCTGGCACCTTCAAAGATGGTAATATAATCACACATAAATGCACACACACATAATGAAAACAGTTTATTTGCACATTATGGACATTCTTTTTTTTTTTTTTTGTTTAAAGAAATAGCTTTGATTTCAAACTTCTTGTCTTTGCAAATCTGAGGTTTTTCAATCTGGGACCCAGGGAAACCCTAGCAGCCCCCTGGGAGTCAAATTTTATTTTTACTAAAAATATTTTACAACTTTAGTATCTTTATTAAATCATTTTTGGTTACACTTCATTTTAAGGTGTGGTTAGTATTGAGTAATATTTATGAACAACATGTATTTACAATAGGGTTATGGTTAGGGTTAATAACGTTAAATGGTATGTGTAACAAGGACACTAAAATATATTTTTTAACACATTTACTGAAATTGATATTATCAGTTATCACGCAGTTCAAATGGGTATTTATACATTGAAAATATATAGTTTGTCTTCATATTTCAGGAAAAGTATCATATTTTTGGGGTCCTTGGCATTAAAAATGCTTTGCTCAGTTTAAACTATTTGCTATTCATGAGAAACAGTTGAGATATTAACAAGTTCTTATTCATGGCAGGTTCAGACACAGTAAGATCACGTTCAAGTCTTAAAGTCCCGGTCCTGTATTTTGTGTTCCCCTTGCAGTCTCCCTGTAAAGGCTTTGGGGCCCCTGGCTCCCTCCAAGACCATTTTGTGTATCTCTTTGTGTCTGTGTTTACATCATAAATCTGTGTGTTTGTGTGTATGTGTTTACATGTGTTTACATCTAATCACTCTTTCTTTCTCTCTTCCCCCTTGTGTTCTTGCATGCACTCATCTATTTCTGTTCTCTGTAGTTCACCAGGCAGTATAGCAAACTTTTTTGCTTTGTAATCCTGTGCTTTTCTCAAAAGCAATACTATTATATGCGTGCACACACACACACACAAACACATCTTCTCATTACATTAAAAGCTGGATTGTCATGCTGGCACATGTAGATGCATCCTCTTTTCTTGCCATGTGTTTTAAAACAATAGACAACTCAAATGTTATGTAACTTAAGTACCAAATGGACCAAATGGATAAGGCAAAAATCATAAATTCAGAGAACTGGTCAAATGTGCATGTACTCTCTTCTCTTGTATTAGCAGATTAAAAGCATTTAACTGGAAATAAAGTTGAGAATAAATCTAAAATATAGACCATATATTAGCAGCATTTAAGTGATTCAGCAGCTTAAGTGCAACTGCATTATTTTCTGCTCCAAAACATTCTGGGTTACTACTTTGCCATAAAAGTTCTATATTAGCAGAAATGTCTCAATATAGAATTTATATTTTTGGCCAGGCTGTGATACAAAGAAAGTAAGAACAAAAACAAGAGAGAAACAATGATATGTTAATAATTGATAATGCTGTAGTCAGTGCATGAGTTTTTTTTTTCTGTGCAATTTTTTTCATAGTAAAATAAAATCTGTAGCAGTAGTTTTTTTTGGACAATTAATTTTGTCATATAAATACCTTAACAAAGTTTAGAACTTTGTTTGTTCCTCGTGTTTAAAATATTTAAGAAATTAAAAATGTTTTCCGCATATATTTAGATATTTTTTATAATATTTATTTGTAAACTTTAAACATTAACATAAAGCTTCATACAATTAAAGTCATAACTTTCCCCCCACAATAACCCTTTCCGCTGAAATAATTACCTATACATACAAAATGTCATTATAACAATAACAATAATAGTTATATAATAATAAATATATAATAAATTAATTAATACAAATAGAAAATTGGTAAATAAACTTTAAGACAAGATCATTTACAAATTAACATAATTTATTAAAATAATTGTATTATTAAAAAATACATACATAGTAATACAAATAGAATCTTTGGCATATTCATGGACTGTCCATATAATTTTTTTACTATATTTTGATTGTTTCATCAAATTTGTAGGGTCATTAAAAACAAATATCCCCTTCGGACATCACTTTTGGCCACTATTGTATGGAGTGCCTGACAGGTCCTACTGAGAACCTTTTCTTCTAAAACTATGCCTACTGGACACGACAAAGCGACTGTTGCAACTCCATTTGGAAGTAGCATGAAAGCTTGGAGTGCGTCAGAAATTGAACAAAGGATCAGTTTAATGTCGCATTCAGTGTAGACAGCATCACTGATTATAATGGGTCGTATTCGCTCAAGGCTAGTGTAGATACAGTGCAAGAACTATAAATGATTAACGATGACCAAATGTAACACATGTTTGATCTCTGTTTCTCAGAAAAGCACTAAGACGGCGATGGAGCTGGGCAGGACGTTCGCCAGCATGTTCTCAGACATCTCTTTCAGACAGAAGCTGCTAGAGAGTAAAACTCAAGAGGAGTTCAAAGAGGCGCTGGTCATCCAGAGGTACCACCTGACCGCTGCCAAGCGTAAAACTACAGCTGTGGAGGGCGAAGAGACAGACCCGCACAGTCAAAAACCACTGAAGGTGTGTGCACATCGCAGCGTGTGCGCCGATGCTTAAGGTTCATTTGTAATGGTTTCAGTTTTTAATGGTTGCATTGTTTCCAATCTCTCTCTCATGTCTTTGTCTATCGCTCTCTCTTTCTCCCTTCACCCTTTGCCCTTTGCTGTTTGACTTACACTCCAGTGATTAAGTTCTACCGAGCATGTAACAGCTAATGAGAATTTATCTTGTTTGTTACTCTGGTTTGACGCACACACACAAAGTCTGATTCGGCATATGTGAGCATTAGACCACCCTGGCTGAGGTTAGCCGCCTGTAAAAGCCCTCTCTTTTCTTCTCTGTAAAGACAACAGAGACCCAAATAGTTGTGTTTTTGTTTTCTTTTTTTGCATTTTTTCACTCCATCACACATCCAAGGAATGGTAACCAGGTGGAGAGGATCATTACTTTGTGTGTGTGTGTACACTAAAAGCTATCCATCTCTGGCAAATGCCCAGGAAAGGTCCCTTACTCTTTCTGTTTCAGACACACGCTGTCATGATGAATGAGTGCGGCTCAGTAATGAACACTTAAAGCTGTGTGACTTATTTAAACATATCCTGAGACAGGTTCTCTCTGGCTGACAGAAAATGAGCTTGTCTGCCAATAAGAGGCTAATGTAGGTCATAAATGTGAGACAGACAAACTGCTCCATTGCCAAATCCTGACCCATAAAGCCTATTAAAATTTGATTAATTCAACAAGACTGTGCATTTGTGACCTGGCACAAAGACACAAATACACACCAGTGCCTCCTACCTTGCCATAATTGGTCTAAATGAAACAAATTCTATTGTATTTTACTTTTTTTTTGTTTCTATAATATTATAAGGTTCAATTTGTTAATATTTGTTTATGAACCTATAAATTATTGGCAAATTTTATTCACTTTAATTTTTAAATGTATTGATACATTTTAAGATTTCAAGTTGTATAAATTGGGTTTTGAACAAACATGAATTAATAATAAACAATAGTTATACTGTACCGTTCAAATGTTTGGGGTCAGTATGATGAAAATAAGATTAATTTAGTTCTGCAAGTACACATTAAATTGATCAAAAGGGACAGTAAAGAAAGGTATAATGTTATGAATGGTTTCTGTTTTTAGATAAATGCTATTCTTTTTTTTTAATCCAATAAAATAGAAATATTTATATTTTAAAATATCACTGTTTTTACAGATTTTTTTATCACATAAATACAGCCTTTGTATAAGAGCCTTCTTTCAAAAACAGGAAAAACAATCTTACTGTCCTTAAACTTTTGAACAATAGCATAAATTAACATTAATAATTATTGACTGAACATTTATGATTTTAAGTTGTAAAAAAATATTTTTTTATGTTTTAGTTCATGATAACTAATGTTGTATTAAGTGATGTGAACAAAGTTTTTGTGAAGTGTTTCCAACATCAAGTCGGATTGATTCAGTATCTACTCTGACAGATTCAAAGTAGTTTGTTAAGAAGATTCAAACGGATTTTATTTTTTTTATTTTGTAGACCAATTCATTAGAAGAACTGGCTTTCGAAAGTTGTCCGTTTGCGAACAGAAACACGTTGGTTATGTATGTTTGTATGAACAATTACAATAATGTTCACCTTTTTATTGGGGCTTTTTATTTCTAAAAGTGCTTAAGCCAGTCTAATTCAGGTCTCTGAAATGCACATGTGCCAGATGCTACATTTCTGATGCCACAGTAATGGATATTTTGAGTAATGTAACTGGTTTCTTGACTGTGCTTTGCTGATGTAATTGTAATGCGTTTGCGTTGTGCTAATGCTGTTCTAACACTGGGCTGTCTCTCTCTCTAGTCTGCAGAATCTGTGTTCTCTCATCTTGTGTCTCTCTCTCTGCTGTGCAGGGGGCCCTGTGTGAGTGCGATTACACTGAGCTTCTGTGTGTGTTTGTGTGTGTGAGGATTTAAGTAGGAGAATGTGTGTTTGTCTGCTTTAACACACTATCTCTTCCCTTGCAGTGTAAAGCATTGTGTGTATTTGCTTCTGTGTGTGTATTTGCTGTGATTCAGCAGGATTTGTTGTGTATGATGTTTAATTGGTGTGTGTACGTGCTTTAATCTTGTGCCTCTCCCGTTGCAGTATTGCCGTAAATGTATTTAAATTGTTCACGTTTATATATGTAGTTATATGTATGTGTGTCTGTTTCTGTGTGTGAGAGAGTAATCATCACTATTTTTCTCTCTCTCTGTATCTGTGTAGTGTAGAGATTTTTTCAGAGTGGGCAGAGGAATCTATGAGGATCTGTGTCGCCGACTGCCTCTCTACCCGTCTGACTTCACTGATGGTGTGTCAAGCCTAAACTTACAAATAAAAGTATTTTAAAATGAAAGTATCAGCATTTTTAAAGTTTTCAAAAGGATATAGGCTCTTCTAGTTGTCTTATTAATGTCTTTAGCTAAATTCGAAGGTGTGACAGTAGTTCAACTAATTTCAGATGAGCTTGTCCACTAACAGGCAGGACCAGGACTAGACAAAATGCATGCCTAAATGCTACATTGCTGGGTTTTGTCACAAAATAGTACACACAAAGATATATACAGTGCAGCCGAGCAATCTGAGGAAATCTCTCTATTTCTCTTATTGGATTGACAAGTCTTATTAATTTTTAATGAATCAGTTCAGTTATGAATTCTTTTATATAAATTAGAACAATCTTAGTTATAGTTTTATACATTTTTATACACAACTATTCTGGAAGCATGCATTAAATTGATTAAAGAGACATTAAAAACATTTATAATGTTACAAAAGATTTCCATTTCAAATAAATGTTGTTCTTTTGAACCGTCTATTCATTGAAGAATCCTAAAAAGTATCACATTTTGCACAAAAATATTACGCAGCACAACCGCTTTCAAAAGCAGCAAATCAGCGTATTATAATGATTTCTGAAGGATCATGTGACACTGAAGACTGGAGTAATGAATAAAATGATGACACAAAATAAATTACATTTTAAAAATAATCAAATCGAAAACAGTTATTTTTAAATAGTAGTAATGTTTCACAATATTAGTGTTTTTACTGTATTTTTGATCTTACAAATGTAACCTTGGTGAGCATAAAACACTATTTCAAAACCATCAAAAAATCTTACCGACCCCAAGCTTTTGAATGGTAGTATGCACTGTATCTATTCATGCTTTCACTCTGATGGAGATTTTTTATTGTTTTGTGTCAGTTGAATATAGCTCTAATGATATTTATTTTGTATGTGATAGCTATAAATACATAAAATGCAGATTTATTATAGTATATGCGTTATTTGAAAATATTTGTGTTATTTTGAGCCGATATTTGAGCTTCAATGAAATCTCTGCAATACAAAATCGGACTCCATGCTGCTACAAGTCTTCCTTCATAATTTATCATTTATTTAAAGTCAGAAATAACTGAATAAAACTGAATGAAAATGATCAAACTATGCAAACTGTGTTAAATTACATGCCAATAAACATATTATACTTACAAGTTAACTTTGACAGCAGTAATGTTTTATATTATATATTCATTTTTTATATACAAATGTGTGTTTCAGGTTTAGTGGGTAATAACAAAGCCCTAGTCAAGTTCATGACGACGTCCATCTTTCTCTACATTGCTGTGCTGCTTCCTGCCATTGCTTTTGGCTCACTCAACGACGAGAGCACTCGGGGCGAGATTGGTGATGTCTCTCTCTCTCTCTCACACACACACACACACATACGGACACACAGATAGACTGACTGATTTGTTCTCTCTGTTGATTAGATGTTCAGAAGACGATCATCGGGCAGAGTATAGGTGGAATCATCTACTCATTGTGTGCTGGCTCTCCTCTCGTCATTCCACTGACCACAGCGCCCATCGCTATTTTCATCAGCGGTATGTACAAACATGCTTTCACAATCACATGCAACAACAGATGCACGTTCACAAACACGCTTACCTTTTTCATTGCCGTCTGGTCTTGAGCTTAGTTTTCTTTATGGAATATTTAGATGAGCACTCTGTTTGTTGAATACTTTGGTGTTGAGTGTTTAGAGAGCTCTGCTAACCTCAGGATAAGGTGGAACAAGACTCTTAATCTCACAAACTGGAGGATGGGAGTCTGATATGGCCGCCATTTGTTTGGGCAAACTTTGATGTTTGCCCTGGCTGAGAGGAGATTTCCTTTCTAAAGCTCATTCCTGCGGCTGCAATCGCACACTGTCACCAGCGGGAGAGTTGCCCTGAAAAATGGTTTTTCTGTAGTACAACGAAATTCTGTTTGGATAAAAATGTGCAGATGAGGACAGAACTGCCACATCCTTCTATAATAATGATCCTTCCCAATCAAAGATCTTGTCTTGTGGTTTCTCATGGGAATAACAGCAGGATTTATTGAAATGCTTGGGAGCAGTTTTTTAAACATCAAACGATCAACATTTACTGTGAGTTATAATCTCTTGTCATTATGAGATTTGAGTTGATTGTGTTCTTTTCGCACGCTTGTGATTCTGTTTGTGTGGAGGACTCTTAATGACAGTAACGTTGTGTCATTTACTATATAAAAAAGAAAATCCTGCCCAGAAAACAAACAAAAAAACCCACAAAAAAACCCTCAAAAGCTTACAAAATTACATTTACCCTTTGTTAGTGCCCTACGCAGACCACATAATCTGCGTATATGGAACAGTGACACTGGAATCTGTGTAGTAAAAGCTTTACATGAAGCTTTAACTGAAATGAAAACAACAACAGCAACAAACCCAACATACAGTACATGGCCTTGGTACATGGTTACATGTTTTATTTTTTTAATATATATTCCATGACAGAAATAAGGGTCTACACGTGTAAGGGTGAAATATGAAGTATGGCCAATTGTGTGATATGTTGCTGTGTTAAGAGTTTTGAAAAAGTACTTAAGTATTGGTAAACGCTTGTTAGCAATTGTGAAAAACTGTAAAAGGTAAAACCTTCAAATGTAAAGTGTCAGTTTTACGGCTTTTCACTGTAAATTGTGAGATGTGAGATGATTTGTTCTTGTTTTACTTATAAAAACATTTAAAATATTTACTGTAAAATTTCTTGAAATGTAAGTTTTGATCTATTACAGTCTCCCCCCATATATGGTTAGAAAGTTACTGTTAACCAATTAACAGTTTTTTACAGTATAATCTTTTACAGTTAAATCACTATAATCTTTCTACAATGCTTCTGTGTGTTTGTCTCTCGATGGCTGCAGTGATTAGGGGAGTCTGTGATGATTATGAGCTGGACTTTGCAGCATTTTATGCATGTATCGGCCTATGGAACAGCCTCTTCCTCATCATGGGAGGAATCTTCAACCTCAGTCTGCTTGTTAAGCTTTTCAAAAGGTCAGACACACACCTACATATATACATACTCATGCAGATGCCACTGCTTGAAGACTGAAATGTTTTTGTTGATGTTTTTGACCCACAGGTCGATAGAAGAAGTGATAGCTTTGTTCATTTCCATTGCTTTTGTAGCAGACGCAGTTAAGGGCACTGTCAAGAGTGAGTGCTAAACACACACACACACACACATATACACAGTCAAACCTTTTGAAATCATCTGGATTTATGTGGAATGATTCTTAGATTACAGTCTGATCTTCATAAGAAATATAAAGAAACCGGGGCTAGTTGGCACATTGTGAAATAAAGAGATTTTACATTTTACAAAAAAAAAAAGAGTTCATTTAACATACATATAACACTGTTTAGTGATAATGGGAATATGCTGTAACACTACAGAATCGGCTCATTAGTTTCACAGTTAATTGATACTAAAATATTATAACTTTATGAAAGATTGCTCAGAAAGACGGACTTCTCCAAACATTCAAGTGAACTGCAACATCGACTGCAAGTTCTCATTCAGATCTGCCTTCATTCAATCAACAATTGAAGTTCCTTGAAACAACAATTGAAGTTCCTTGAAAAAGATCTGCCGCTGCTTCCATTCCATTCCATATATAAAAATAAATATGAATCATACTCTACAAAAAATGCTATAGTCCACAACATATCTGTATTGTAGTTTGTGTCAACTAACTTCGACTGGCCTTAAACACACACAGACAGCAAACCATTTCACAGTTCCATGTCTTTATTGAACAAATGTGTTAAACAATCAAGATAACCTCTACTATAATGACCTCTTGAAAAGAAGGTAATTGGACTCAGCTGTGGCTTTCAATGGAAAGCACCATGTTACTTGTTTCTTCCCTAAACAATTGTGCTCAAGTGAAATCTAGTCTGATCAAAAGGGACTTCAGAAAACCTCATAAAACTCAAGGTTTGCAGGGGATTTGAAAGATTTATGCCTACAGTCAGGCAGATCAGCACCATCAGTTCAGAACCATTTCTGCAGTTTCTTGTACATAAAGCCAGTCTAATATGTGTGGAAACAGCTTCAATAAATGCAAAACAAAGGTCATTTGCCTGTAGAAAAAAAAGCATAACCTAAGAACTGCTGTATTACAAAATACCAGTTTCAAAACGACCTTTAAAGAGTTGACACTGAACCAGATATGGTTATTTTAAAAAATATGTACAAATGACTTATTACTAAACGATATATTCAGTAATCCACCACAAATATCAAAGAATTAGTTTCGTAATGTGATTACTTTTGAATTAAAGTGTCCCTATTATGCTTTTTGGAATATTAACTTTCATGCAGTGTGTAATATCGCTGTTTGTGAGTGTCTGCAAAGTTTTAAAGTGCACGACTAATACAATTATTGTCACCTAAAAGAAAAAGAATAATTCTGAACTGCTGAAACGAGTCGTCAGCAATTCTAGCCTGTTACTTCTCTATGTGACAATGTAACAAATTTGCATAATGCCAGTCATTGGCCTCATTGGCTGCTCCTGAGCAATGTCTACTTTTACCCGTACTCAAACACTGTAGTTGTAGTTGAGGCCTGGAAGAGTTTAGTTCGTTTAGTTCGATGCTGTTTTCAGAGCTGCGAATCCACTTTGCATTCACTTTAAAAAGATGAGGACTCGCACTGGAATTGATACGGAAAAACCGATGCCATCATTCGTATCACTATGTATCAAGTGCTGAGAAAGCGTCTGGAGCTGAAATAGGCGTTTAGGTTTCAACACATGCACAAGTGTATGACCAATCACAACAAACTGGGCCATTTGACCAATCAGAGCAGACTGAGATAACTTGCTTAAAACAAAACGTACTTGTCTTACCAGGAATATATATATATAAAAAAACCTATAAAACAAGCATAAAATATTAAATTTAATTAAAGTAAACAATTAAAAGTATTCATATGTCATCAAAATGCTAAATAATTATTTGCATATTTTTTCAACTTAATGGATTGTCAACTGTATTGAGTTTGACGCAAGACCAATGTTGAATTTTGAGAGAAGCGTAATTTGCACATGTGATACTGTATTTGAAGCAAAATCAGACATGACATGTTCTGAATCATTGGAAAAAAACCTGGAACAAAAAACCCCCCAAACAAACAGCTAAGACACTATTCATTTTCAATGTGAGTTTTAAAAAAATACTTGAAATAAATGTTAAGAACACAAAACTCCTAATACCATTGCCAGAACTTCACTGTAACTGTGAAGGATTGTGGGATGAGTATAATGAACTGGGGCTGTTTTGCTGCCTCAGGGTCCGGACGACTTGGAGTCACCGAGGAACCAACAAATTCCAAGTTATATCAGGAGCAGAACGTCAGAGCGTCTGTTTGTGATCTAAAACTCAAAAGAAGTTGGGTCATGCAACATGACAGTGATCCAAAGCACAGGAGTCAATCAACAACAGAACGCTTCAAACAAAAGAAATTCAGCACTTCACAATGGCCAAATTAGAGACCTGACCCCACTTCCTTTGAAATGCTCTGCTGTGATGATAAACAGGCCGTTCAAGAAAGACATCCCAAAAATGAGCATGAACCGAAACAATGCGCATGTGTTATCTGCAGAAAGCATTAGTTGATGTTATTGGCAGTAAACAAGATTCCACAAAAATTCCTTCAGTAATCGTGATTGTTTAAACCAATTATTCAATAAAGATGTGGCGCAAGAGAAATGTTACGTTTTGGAGGGCGTTCAAAACGTTTACACAATACGTACACCAAACTTAAAAGATGACATTAGACTGGCATATATTGTACTTTTTAGTCAGTCTTACCAGTACAATAGTACCCTTTTATTTAAAAATAGCAATAATTTACATGTTTACATGTGGCACAGTAAAAATGTTACACTAAGAAAGTCGTTCATTTTGATACATACAGTTAGCGTTCATTTTAAACCTACATATACTGTATACTGTACATTCATTTTGACCTATTCTTACAATATATAAATAGTAATACCCTATCTTGGTATCTCATTTACAGTCTTTCAAGAGTACTATCATGCTCCCACTTTGGCCAATGGGAGTGCGGCAGAGCTGAATCGCATCAGTGGAAGTGTACATTTAGGGGAACTGAACCTGACTGAGGCAGGGTCTGTGTCCCTCCCAGAATCCTTCATTCTGTGCACACGGGCACGACCGCTACTCTGTCTCCTCCTCATGATGGGCACACTGTGGGTGGGATACACACTGTACCAGTTCAGGAGGAGGTGAGGATCTCTTCTTGTCTCCAACACACTCACACACCTGTGTACACACTGAGTATTTTAAAGAGTGATAGAAGAGTGTTTTGACACCCCCATCTTTCCATTTATTCCTGGCAGTCCGTTTCTGCATGTGAAGATGAGAGAGATTCTGTCCGACTGTGCTCTGCCTATCTCAGTGCTTGTCTTCTCTTATGTGGGATCATACGTTTTCAACGACATTGCCTGTGAGTCATGTGACACTATTTGTCTTCATGTTGCACACACATTGACACTAAGGTACACATTTCTTCAAGGCAGGTTTTAAATAACAGGAAAAGTTTTTGTTCTACTTTGTTTAATTTCTCCAGAATACTAAACTGATCTTTTTTCTCTGGTATTAGCAAGCAATATGGGTTTGCTTTTGCAATTGTTATTTTTTATTTGCAATTAAACATTTGTATTATTTTATTTTATTCTCATTTCCCTAATATTTGTTAGAATATTTGTTATTTTATCATTCTTTATTTTATTTATTTATATTTAAATATTTTTTATATTATTTCACATTTCACAGTTTTTGCTATTAATATTTTTTTATTTGACAAAACCTTCTTTATATTATTTTTTTAGTATTCATTATATTATTTCACATTTAATCATTGTTTATCATCCAAATTTTGCTATTATTATTATATAAATAATATTATATGCATTACATTATTTCACTAACAGTCATTATTAGTGTTTTTGTTTTGATCATGATAATAGTATTTAATATAAGGTAAAGTAAGTGAGCTTATTCATGGTATAATTTAAGCAGAGAAAAAACAAAACGTTCATAATGATAAAACTGCTTTATTATGTAAATGTCTTTAATCATATTGAGAGATTATCTTCAACATGTCAAAATGCAGCATTTAAGCAGCAATTTTAAATGAGATGTAAATTAGCAGAGAAGATTCAGTACTGAGAATCAGTTCAAATTTTGGCTCAGTTTTTCAAGCCAGGAAGGTTTGCCAAAACGTACGGCCCTACCAACACTTCTCTCTCTCACACACACACACAAACACACACACACTGCCTGTACGCTTCCTCCCTTTCCACAGCTAGCACATTACAGCAAAGCCACTCCACTCCGACTATCACTACATTATTCCTCCAACTCCTCTGTCATCTGTTTGGTGTGGGAGTTTATAACTTGGTTATCAGTGTGAGATTTTACTTCTTACCTCAGGCTCTTTAAACGTTCTCTCAGCGTTCCAGTGCTGCAGTCCAGAGGCTCATATTGAAAATTTGATCAAAGCAGAAACTGCAGGGAAATGGCCAAACAAACCAAAACATAAATATGTACAGTATGAAAGCTTGTTTCTCCACAAAATAAAAAATGAAAAAGGTAATTGCGACTTTTTATCTCACAATTCAGACTTTTTTTCTCAGAATTGCTTGATATAAACTCGCATTTGTGAGTTATAAAGTCAGAATTGTGAGATATAAACTCACAATTCCAAAAAAAAAGTCCTAGAAGTGACTAGAAGGATAGCAGCAGTATGAAAAAAGAACAGCAGCTACTGTTAGTGTTGACTAAGTAGTTTACATTATACACACCTTACTGCGTCATTATTTGGCCATTGCCCGGTAAACACCGCACTACCTCTCAGTGCGTGTGCATGCACGCATCTTTTGCATCAACAAAATGCTAAATATATACTGTAACTTGCGCTGCATATTTATCAATTTTGCCTCAGAGACAGGATTATACATTGGCTTTAAAAAAAAGTGTTTAAAAAGTAACTATACATAAGGGACGACAATAAAATGAAAATCTTAGAATAAAAAAAATTGTTACGGTTGACATTTTCTAGCGCGGTAACGATATATACCGTCATACCGCTCGCTCAGCCCTAATACCTTCCTATGAACATGTTCAGTGTTACTATAATTTTGTCCTGTAAAAGTCAGAGATTCTTACAATGCTACTGTTAATGTTCCTATAAAAATAATGTTCTAACATAATGTTCCTATCTTGTGTTACATTTAGGATTTCAATTAAATGTGGTCCGTTTTAAACCTAAACCAATATTCCAACAACAAATTACGCTACCTGAAAGGTATACAATGCTACCATGCTTTGGTTAACTTGGGCTGTGCCCTTATTTTGTTGCAGTTTGTTCTGTGGCCATTTTTCACATATTAATTTTTGAATGCAAATGATACAAATCAGAGGCGACTATTTAACAATTACTGTAGATGTAATCACACTATCCTGGAAGGTCTGGTTTTTGCTGGATGGTCTGTTATGGTGTGTGAGCTGAGGTTCACTGTGTTATGTGTGCTCTCTTCCAGTGCCAGTGTTCAACTTCCATGAAGGTCCAATGTTTCAAATAGCCCCGCTGGATAAGCTGTCTGGAGCAAGTGTTTTGAGTGCAATGGGTTTGGGCTTCCTCCTGTTTATCCTCATTTTTATCGACCAGAACATTGTTGTTTCTCTCACAAATGCTCCCGAAAACAGGTTCGTGTCTTTTGAAATTACTTTATTTTTGAAACATCTCACCACACTTAAGTGGCTTCATCACAATGATTATTAAAATGAACCAAACATTAACCTAACCAGGCACAATGTGACGAGCGACCTCTTTCATGTGTAGGAATATTGAGCAATGGCAGTGATTTGTAGCGTCAAAGCGTCCTACAGCCATTTGTTTTCAAAGAGCGACAGCAACCATCTTTATGCAAATTATCATTAATTTAGCCAAGGAAAACTTAAAACGGAAGGTGTTTCATTTGAACCCCTTTGATCGTGTCATCGTATCATTTACAAAATCTTAATTAAGAAATAGTTTTACAATTTAAAATAAATGTTCACTATTTTATGATGGCAAAGCAGAATTTCTGCAATGTTGAAAGGTGTTATGCTTCTAAATATTTTTGTCCTTCTAAACATTTTAATCAGGATTCGTTGATGAATAAAAATGAGCATTTATTTAAAATCGTTTGTAACATTATACATGTCTTTACTCTCATTTTTCATTAATTTAATGCATCATTGATGATTAAAAGTATTAATTTCTTTCAAAAAAAACATACCAACCCCAAACTTTTAATTGGTAATTTATGTTATTTAAATGACACCCAGCATGCACCTAGCTGCGTATTAAACATTAAATATATTATGATTGGTCGCTGGAAACTTGTCACTTTGCACCTAGATAGGACACTGGGTCAGATTTCGCAGTCGTTGACTGTGTGTGTGTGTGTGTGTGCCACAGGTTACTGAAGGGCACGGCGTATCACTGGGACCTGACTCTGTCTGGCCTGATTAATATTTTGATGTCTGTGCTGGGCTTGCCGTGGATGCATGCTGCGTTCCCGCACTCTACTCTGCACGTCAGGCAGCTGGCCATCGTGGAGGAAAGGGTGGAAGGAGGACACCTTTATGAGACGTGAGCACACACCACATCGACGAGCCACACGCTCACAAGCAATTACAGTCGCAATCAATCTGTGAAGCACAAACGTCATTATAGCAGTTATTGGCACAGTGTGCTTGGTTTTAAATGACGCCTTTGTGTGTGTGTGTTTGTTTGTGTGTACATGTCTGTGTGTGTAGTATAGTGAGTGTGAAGGAGACGCGAGTGACCTCGCTCGTGGCTAACATCCTGATAGGTGTGAGCTTGTTTCTGCTGCCGGTGCCCCTGCAGTGGATTCCCAAGCCTGTGCTTTATGGGCTCTTCCTCTACATCGCTCTCACCTCCATTGACGGCAATCAAATGTGCGACCGCATGGCTCTGCTACTCAAAGAACAAGTGAGTGTGTGCGTGTGAGTCTTTGATGAAAACAAAGGCAAAATATAGCTGCAAGCAGCCATTACCGGGGCCAAGCGCAAGAAGCGGCAACATATGCCAAAATGGCAAGGAGTGGCAGACCAACTGCAGCAAGGAGCAATTACGGGCATTTTGAGAGAATTTTGGGCAAATGGCTAAGAAAATCACATAAACATTAACTTATAAGATGATTTAATGGGTTATCACTTTCGAACAATAGGTGGCGCAGTTACGAAATAGATGTGATGTGGTCAGAGGGAGGTGACAATGACACATGCAAAGTTTGGTGTCAAAATGTGAAGGCATTGCAGAGATAAAGCCTAAATAGTAATTTTGGCAGCATGCCTAAAGTTTGATGCTGTGGTATACGAAAAACGGTTTTGTCTATCATCGTGCAATTCATAACTTTTAGTCGGCACGGTCTGGAGATGATACGATTCAATTTTCGTGAAAATCGGACAAACGGTCTAGGAGGAGTTCGAAAAAGAAGGTTTTTCAAAGAAATAAAGATAGCGGACAGGAAGTTTTGCTGATTATGGAAAACCTGATATCTATGTTTTCAGCATAACCCAAGGAATCTATTAAGATCAGTTTCATTGCAATAGGCAAATTTATTCAAAAGTTATTAGCGTTCTCAGAAATGAATTATAACTTTTGACCAACAGGTGGCGCTGTCTCAAAATCTTTTGAGTACCTTCAGGGCATGCTGCTTATGGCACACACTGAGTTTCGTAATGTTAGACAATGCATTTGTTTAGTATAGCATGTATTTCACAAAACTGTATTGAAGTCAATGGGAATTTCACGTTTTTTTCTATTATAGCGCAACCAAGAGGCTCAGTCCCACAATTTTTTTTTTATGTGTCCTCAGAGTGACCCCATACATATGTGTGTCAATTTTGGTGCAAATATCTCAATTTACTTCCGAGTTATAAACATTTATATGTTAAAAACACGTAAAAAATGACTGACACATGACTTTGTTTGAATTTTACTACCCCTTACTATCAATATTTTCGCATTTGGGCATTAGCGTATAGTTAACAAGCTATGATTCCGTGTTTCTGGCGGTGGTTTCGTCTCGATCGGAACAGCGGTTTTTGAAGATATCGCCAAGTGTTTTTTTCGCGCTAAATCGCTACGCTACACCAACCGTAACACGAAACCCAGCATGTTTAGTATCGTTGGACTCGGCAACGATTCAGGAACTCAAAAAGATGACTCCCGTGAAAATAAGTGTACCACACCCAAAGTTATAAGCGTTTGAAAAAAACAATTCACCACTAGGTGGCGCTGTTTCGAAACTTCTCAGGCTTCTTCAGGGCATCGTCCTGATGACCCATACCGAGTTTCGTAACAATTCGTTCATGCGTTCAAAAAATACAGCATTTTAGCACATAATTCAAAATGGCCGACAGCCAAAATGGCCAATCTGGGAAAATTGCATATCAGTCGACTCGGCATGATGCCCTGAATCTAACGAGATGAAGTTTATGATTTTTGGACAAACCGTTCAGAAGTTACGAGCAAAAATAGCCATTTTTCATATCTCCGGACCACTAGGTGGCGCTGCGCCGAAACGCTGCATGTAGCCTCAGGTCATGCTTGTGATAACATGTACCAAGTTTGGTCTGAATAGGATTAAGCGTTGCGGAGATACAGCCTCACGTCTGTTTTGCAAGCGCTACGTAAAATTAGTTTGCGCGTTTATCGAAAACGGTTCTTCGAATCATCTTGAATTCCATAACTTTTTGTCAGCACTGCCTGGAGATGATCTGGTGCGATTTTGGTGAAAATCGGACAAACCGTCTAGGACGAGTTCGCAAAAGTAGGTTTTTGGAAAATTCAAAATGGCGGCCATTTTTTTATGACGGAAAATGACGTCATAGGGTGCGATCGAATCGGCATGAGCTCAGGAACAAGAGGGAAAAAGAATTTTGTTGATAGGCCTTACGGTTCAAAAGTTATTAGCATAATAAAAGTGCAACTTTGGACAGTTGGTGGCGCTAGAGGGAATGAGTTAGAGACACCAAAATTGGTGTATTTAAAGTTGGGACTGTCCTCTATCAGAATGTCAAACTAAAACAACTTTCCCGCAAACCGGTCTATGGGCTGTCATAGACGCCCAGTCGGAAGAAGAATAATAATAATAAATATAGCTGCAAGCAGCCATTACCGGGGCCAAGCGCAAGAAGCGGCAACATATGCCAAAATGGCAAGGAGTGGCAGACCAACTGCAGCAAGGAGCAATTAAGGGCATTTTGAGAGAACTTTGGGCAAATGGCTAAAAAAATCACATAAACATTAACTTATAAGATGATTTAATGGGTTATCACTTTCGAACAATAGGTGGCGCAGTTACGAAATAGATGTGATGTGGTCAGAGGGAGGTGACAATGACACATGCAAAGTTTGGTGTCAAAATGTGAAGGCATTGCAGAGATAAAGCCTAAATAGTAATTTTGGCAGCATGCCTAAACTTTGATGCTGTGGTATACGAAAACGGTTTTGTCTATCATCGTGCAATTCATAACTTTTAGTCGGCACGGTCTGGAGATGATGCGATTAAATTTTCGTGAAAATCGGACAAACGGTCTAGGAGGAGTTCGAAAAAGAAGGCTTTTCAAAGAAATAAAGATGGCGGACAGGAAGTTTGGCTGATTATGCAAAACCTGATATCTATGTTTTCGGCATAACCCAAGGAATCTATTAAGATCAGTTTCATTGCAATAGGCAAATTTATTCAAAAGTTATTAGCGTTCTCAGAAATTAATTATAACTTTTGACCAACAGGTGGCGCTGTCTCAAAATCTTTTGAGTACCTTCAGGGCATGCTGCTTATGGCACACACTGAGTTTCGTAATGTTAGACCAAAGCATTTGTTTAGTATAGCATTGTATTTCACAAAACTGTATTGAAGTCAATGGGAATTTCACGTTTTGTTCTATTATAGCGCCACCAAGAGGCTCAGTCCCACAATATTTTTTATGTGTCCTCAGAGTGACCCCATACATATGTGTGTCAATTTTGGTGCAAATATCTCAATTTACTTCCGAGTTATAAACATTTATATGAAAAAACACGTAAAAAATGACTGACACATGACTTTGTTTGAATTTTACTACCCCTTACTATCAATATTTACGCATTTGGGCATTAGCGTATAGTTAACAAGCTATGATTCCGTGTTTCTGGCGGTGGTTTCGTCTCGATCGGAACAGCGGTTTTGAAGATATCGCCAAGTGTTTTTTTCGCGCTAAATCGCTACGCTACGCCATCCGTGAGACGAAACCCGACATATTTGGTATCGTTGGACTCGGCAACGATTCAGGACCTCAAAAATATGACTCCCGTGAAAATAAGTGTACCACACCCAAAGTTATAAGCGTTTGAAAAAAACAATTCACCACTAGGTGGCGCTGTTTCGAAACTTCTCAGGCTTCTTCAGGGCATCGTCCTGATGACCCATACCGAGTTTCGTAACAATTCGTTCATGCGTTCAAAAAATACAGCATTTTAGCACATAATTCAAAATGGCCGAAAGCCAAAATGGCCGATCTGGGAAAATTGGATATCGGTCGACTCGGCATGACGCCCTGAATCTAACGAGACCAAGTTTTTGATTTTTGGAGAAATCGTTCAGAAGTTACGAGCAAAAATAGCCATTTTTCATATCTCCGGACCACTAGGTGGCGCTGCGCCGAAACGCAGCACGTAGCCTCAGGTCATGCTTGTGATAACACGTACCAAGTTTGGTGTGAAAACGAGTAAGCGTTGCGGAGATACAACCTCACGTCTGTTTTCGCAAGCGCTACGTAAATTTTGTTTACGCGTTTATCGAAAACGGTTATTCGAATCATCTTGAATTCCATAACTTTTTGTCAGCACTGCCTGGAGATGATCCGGTGCGATTTTGGTGAAAATCGGACAAACCGTCTAGGACGAGTTCGCAAAAGTAGGTTTTTTTGGAAAATTCAAAATGGCGGCCGTTTTTTTATGACGGAAAATGACGTCATAGGGTGCGATCGAATCGGCATGAGCTCAGGAACAAGAGGGAAAAAGAATTTTGTTGATAGGCCTTACGGTTCAAAAGTTATTAGCATAATAAAAGTGAAACTTTGGACAGTTGGTGGCGCTAGAGGGAATGAGTTAGAGACACCAAAATTGGTGTATTTAAAGTTGGGACTGTCCTCTATCAGAATGTCAAACCAAAACAACTTTCCCGCAAACCGGTCTATGGGCTGCCATAGACGCCCAGTCGGAAGAAGAATAATAATAATAATAATAATAAGAACCGGCACAGATACAATAGGTGCCTCCGCACCTTCGGTGCTTGGCCCCTAATAAAAGTCATAGGTGTTGTACAAATAAGAACACAGAAGAGAGCGGTGCATCCGCTGTGCAAATAAAGCAACAGAGCGCCCTCTACTTGTCATGGTCAGAAATGACTTGGTCTCCATTGATGCGTTTTGTTTCAAAAATGTTTCATAATCAAATAGTTGGTGGGATTTTTATTTCACAAACTATAGAACGATTCAAAACAAAAGATCTAATAAAGATTGGCACAAAACCACTTATTCACATCCTGCCAGGAGAATGTTTCAGTGTAACCTGAGTTCTTGGGCTCCGGTTGTTTGTTAAAACTATTTGTATTAATTATCAATTAATAATAAACTAATAAGTTAATGTAAGTTTAAGCATAACACTATCAGAGTTTCCGCTAGAAAAAAAATGGTGCCGGCAGAGGTTGCGTTTTATGGATTTTTGATGATATGCCGGTCAAATATCGCCTAGAAAACTGGAAGCAGGCTAACTTAAAAAAATGACATAATCAGGTCGTATACAATGCAACATGTTATTATTAGCCTAACTTTCAAATAGGCGTGTGCTTTATTTGAAATGCAGCATGAAATGTTGTTTAATAACTTTCAAACGGTAGAGCCTGTTCCTTTATAACATAGCCAAAGGTTGTTGCATTTTTGCTTTATACATTGTAGGCTTATTATCAAATTCATAGTGTTTTAATTTGGTGATGGCGCAGTGGATAAGACACATGCCTTTGGTGTGAGAGACCCGGGTTCGACTCCACTGTGAGACACCAATGTGTCCCTGAGCAAGACACTTAACCCCTATTTGCTCCAGAGGTGTGACATTTATAGCAATTGTAAGTCGCTTTGGATAAAAGCGTCAGCTAAATGAATAAAGCTGATGCGAATAAAACACAGTATTTTCAATGTTGTTAAAAAAAAAAAACACATTTGCACAAAGTAAGCCAATCCACTTTTTCATGTTGATAAGAGCATTAAATTTAGAAAAAATAATGGGACAAAAAGAAATCAAGAGACATTTAGAATTGATAAAACTAACTATGACATTAATGCGATTAATCGCGATTGAATATTTTAATCGTTTGACAGCACTAATTAAAATATATATATTTTTAAAGTAACGCAATAGTTAATTTCCCTGGTAATTAGTTACTTTTGGAATGATGTAACTCTTTGTGAGAAGTAACTAGTTACTATAACTAATTGCTTTTTTTAAGTAACTTACCCAACACTGGTTGTTGGACTTCTAGTCAACTATCCTGGCACATCCTTAGTAAATGGTTATTCCGGCCACATATGCCATTGTCTCTCTCTCAAACAGAACTATATGCCAGCATACGGTAGTTTGGAAGTCCTTTAATCCACATGTGTGAAAATAGCAGCCACAAAATTTCACTGCTGGGCATTGGCATCATCACAAATGTGATCTCCATTATGTATGCATATAGCCCTGATTTAGATGTGATTTATTTTTGTATTGTGGAGACACGTGTAAGTGAAATGCCCATGCATGAATGGATCTTAGTCCCATCATCTTCTCTTTCTTTGTCACTCAATTGCCCTTTACTCTTTCTCAGACATCCTACCCGCCAACCCACTACATCCGCAAGGTGCCGCAGAGAAAGATCCATTACTTCACTTTCCTTCAGATGGTGCAGCTGCTTTTCCTCTGTGCATTTGGGATGTACCCTCTCCCGTATATGAAGATGATCTTTCCTCTGCTAATGTTTATCCTCATACCCATCAGGTGAGTTCTGAAATGCCTCCAGCTCTTAAGTCACAAACTCCTGTCTCTCTGTGTTGTGTGTGTATTGCTAGGCACGTGCATGTGTAATAAATCGCGTTTGCTAAAGGTCATACGACGGAATGATGAATGAAAGGAAAGGGAAAATCTTTAATAGTTCTTATGAATGTACTCGCGTTAGTTTCATATGGTTTTGAAAAACTTTTATTCCATTGTCAAGAATTATTTCAATTTAATGACTTTAATGTCATGTAGAACAACTTTCAGGTAAAAACCAATGACATACTGTATTTTCCTTACTATTTGAATTCATGTGAGTGCACACATTTTGATCAATTATTTCAGAAGTTTCAAAATATTTAGCAAGTAATTGAATTTCAATGTAAAAACAAACAAACAAACATTTTAAAGCATTGTTTTGTCATAATGAGGTAAAATTGTCTGATATTTATAGACACTACATTTATATTGACCTATACAGTCATGAGGGTCTGCATGTTGGTTGCTCCACATGATTTTCTTTATCGCACCAACAAATATTGTCAATATTTGATTTTTTTTTCTCCAAATATTAACAAATATTTAAGAAGTTAATAAATTCCAGCACAGCGCTACAACAACCATAATGAAATAACCCATAATAATAATAATAATAAGTTTTATTTATAAAGCGCCTTTCCAGGGCTCAAAGACGCTTACACTTACAATGAACTCTGTTAGAGAGCCACATACGGCAATTTATCTGTTCAATAAAATCCCTAACTCTCTGCGGTCTGCGTCGTTTTTACAACATTTTTAAATCCCTCAGTTCTCGTCATCTTCAAAAAGCCAAGGCAATGTTGATTCTTGTTTTATTACGTGCTCTGTCTCACTCTCTTTTTGATAGTAAGCTAGTAAGAGCTGTGCAGGTAGGCCTCAAGAGGCAGTCTAGGTGGTCTAGGTCTTTATTGTCCTCGTTAGCACGGCCACCACCCACGCCGGTTCGAATCCTGCTCGAATAATAATGATATTACCATACTTTGACTATATGATATTAACAAACTTTGAATTGTGCCTCTGCCTCAGGAACTGTCTACTGCCCAGGATCATTGAGGCTAAGTACCTGGACATTATGGATGCACAGCGCATGTGAACACATGCACACTGAGCCTCTGAGCAAAGGACTCTGGGAATTGTATTTCTGAAATGCAAAACTCTGGGAGGAAAAACAAACTGATTCTAGTGTTTAACAGCAGGCATTCTGGTGAAGCACTGAACGAGTAATAGAGTAACAGAACGAGAGATTAGAAAAGAAGGATATTTGAAGACAGAACAAGAGAGGGGGAAGATGAGCTGCCTGTTCAAGACAGAGTAGAAAGACAGACCACTGTCTGACTGTTTGACTATTGACCTTGGTCAGTCACTGCTTCTCTCATGATCTGAATAGTACACCAAAGCCCCCTCCCCCCCTCTCTAGTCTATTCTGATGTATCCAATGCATCACAGTACAGATCAAACACTTGTTTTAGAAAACGTAGGAAACCGTCACATTTATTCTCAACAATTGTGCCATGACTAATTTACACGAGCGTTCTCTCCATCTCCGATCATAGTGTTTTTGGACACAAACCCAGCTGGTTTTTGAACAAGAGACTGAACTGAATCTGTAGCAATACCTCTTAATGCTGAACACTGACTCGCACGCACGCTCACCCAGTGCACAAACTCTCATGCGTCAAGTAACAAAAAAAGCAGTCAATCGCAGATTTTAGTGCATTTTGGTACATATCAGTGCAAATAAGTAATAATGTCATGAGCATGGACCAAAACAATACACTCACCTTATTGGGAAACTGTGTCTCATAGCAATACAGCGGATTATTAGAGGCTATCGATATTTTGAGTTTTCTAAAGAGAGTTTACTTTCGAGGTAATAGACTTCTAGTTTGGATACCCACTGATGTGTTGAGAATGTATCCTAAGCGCTGGGGTTTCAGGGAAAAGGAGAAAAACAACAAGCAGCATTTCTGTGGACCTTACTCACTGCTGAATGGACTCTGACATTTAAGCTTTGCACATCACAAGACACCACGACTGTGTACCTTCCTCAGTCTCACAAACACTCTCACACACAGGCATGATTATAAACAATGCCCAAAAGAAAGGCACTTACTTAAACGCACACGATCATGTCCGTCCATCTCACTATATATATTTAAAACAGAGAAAGCATGCCTTTTATAAGACATTGAAACTTTTGATTTATATTACTATTACGTAATTTGTGTTATTATTAAAAGCAACTAGAAATAATGGTCAATTGAAGGTTTAGTTCCATTATATCCTTACTTCATAGTTGTTTATAGTTGTTTGCGGTCTTTCTGAATAAAACCCTCTTAGAGATCCCAAGAAATTGGAAGATGCAGATATCTTTGATGATTTTGACCCATCGAACTACATTACATTCCCAAAATAGACGCTGTAAATGAAGGCTCGCAAAGAAAGACATGGTTTGCAAAAAAAAAAAAGTGAGCACATGTCACTTAATCATTGAAAATGTGAGATTAGAGAAAGCTGAGAATCAGACTAGACATGGAGAGCGTTAAGCTTCACAGAGAGATTAGGCGTACTATTGAAGAAGGTGGTTTTCTCTTGAAGACCTCGCAGCACTTGCGTAATCAGCATTCCCATTTCTTGCTCTCTATCTTCTCTGTAACCATATCATAGTTATTCTCCTTGAGTCCAGACCTCTGGTGTAAAAACAAGTTCCCTTCAGTAATCCTGTTTGTCATTGGACATCTCTCAGTATTTACTGTAATATTGAAGTATTCAACTTTAATTTGTGGTCGCTCACACCTGGGTGGGATATGTTGACGAGTTTTGTTCTGTGATGTTTAAATATTGTTTTGGATTTTTTATTTTCTAATCATGAATGTATAATGTGTAGATTTTTATAAAGCACATAAAAAATATTCATTGTAAAATCGATTTTGTCAAACAGATAAGCTAAATTTGTAAACTGCAATATGTAAAAACTAAGGTAAATAAGAGACATGTTTATTGGAAGGATGGTGTGGGTTTAATAGGGGTATGCTATACACTGAAATCTAGATCATTTCAAGCTGATTGCCAAATAAAGAGATATATTGATACCCATCTGTTTCAGCGTTCCTCTGTTTTCTATTTATGTTGGCTACACTCCATTTTCATTACTAAATGCCAATGTTTTATTTATTTTTTGTTCTAGCTAAAAATACCAGAATATTTTAGATTTCGTAAATCTAGTAATTTTGTAATGTAGGCATTAACTGCCCTCTAATGGTCATGTTAAGTGTTGTCAAAATTACATAGAGCTTAGATCATAAATGGGAAGCTTGACTCATAATAATAGAAATAAGAACAAGATATTTAAAATATGTTATCTCTCAGCTGAATGTTTTGTTTTAATATCAAATGCAATATTTGTGTATGTGTTTAAAAAGATTGATAAACCACCAATAGTTGTAAACATCAATGAGTTAAAGTGATAGTTCACCCATGAATTTGCATTCGCCTCTGTTTGTTCGCTGATCAATGTTTCATTATTTGTGAATAAAAGCCTAAATTAAATCTGTTCATTAAGTCTCTTCTGAAAATTTTACTAAACACTCAATTAATTAGTTTTACAATCTTTTTATTAACTTTTTGAAGCTTAAAAATGGTAGTTGATAAGAGAAGAAAATGGTAGCCTTTAGCTCTCAGAATTCTTTAAAAAAATATCTTCATTTGTGTTCCGAAGCCTTTAAAAAAACAAAAGTCTTGCGTAAGCCGTACGGTTTTGGAACGACAAGAGAGAGTAAATGATGATGATAGTTTTTTTTTTTTTTTTAGGTGAACTATCCCTTTAAGAACGGGTTTGCGCAACCGACTCGTTTAAAAGATCCAACTCAAATGACCGATTCATTTCAGAATCGATCGGACATCGCTCCTGTATTCTGTTCCGCTATTGGGTCTAAGAACACACCCCTGTTGCGAAATCACCTGAACTCGTACTTCTCTGACAGGTGTCATTTTGACTCAATTTTTTTGATCGTCCTTTAATATATTGTTTACTGTCCTTTCTGTTTCGGTTCCGGTTCGGCGCGTGCATGTATAGAAGTGTGGCAAGTATTTTATTGTTGTGATCGTGAACGCGCTGTGTGATGAGGCTGCAGAGGTGGGCTGAGTTTGCAGTGCTCAATCGCAGATCTCTCCTCCTCTTTCTGCCGGGGGAAAAACACGTGTGTAGCAAGAGCAGACGATACCACGGCACTCTCATGGCTGAAGAGGCCAAAAAATTGGCAGCTTATGCTGCTGTAGACAACCACATACAGGTAAGACTGTGTATTATCCTTCGTTGTGACACATTTCCATCAGTTACGTCAGTTTGACAGGCTGAATGGGCGCATTAAACACTTATCTAACGTTAGCGTTATTCATTTAACGTTACTGTCGTATCAACAACAGAACTGCAGTTCAGCTGATTTACATTTACTATGACTATGTGCTTTGACAGTCACAATTTATAGTGAGTATCCGCTGTGACACTTTAGCTTTGATCATGCTAGTTGGCATGTTACATGTTAAATTATGGTTAACTCCGCAAGAATGTGAGTGTAACTCATGTGGCTTCAGTTAAGCACATGTGATGATTTATGCACCAGTAAAGTAAGCTAGGTGATATAAGGACGCTAAAGCAGCTCAAATTAAACCTTTAGAGATTAGCATCTTTCGAAATAGCTACGTGGTGTAAACGGGACTGTGTCTAACGTTACTATTTAATAATTAATTGCAGATCGGTTCTGATGATGAGTTCACCCGAAAATTCTGTTATTTATTAACTGTTACTCACCCTCGTGTCGTCCCAAACTCCTAAGACGTTCGTTCATCTTGTATAACATTTTATTTGTATAACAGAATATATTTTTGATGAAATCTAAAAGCTTTCTGTCCCTCCATTGATGGCTACACAACTACCATGCTCTTGGAATCGTAAAACTAATCCATATTATCTGAGCGTTTGTCCATTTTTTTAAGAGACTCATTCGCTTTATGAAACGTTTTTATAAAATATAAACATTGATCAGTAAACATAAACAGCTCAATCAAACCTGATTGACACGAGACTGTTTCCTGAAGAAGCTCAAAAGTGCTGCAAAACATTAAAATATGGCTGCCAGCCACAACTAATTGATAAAATCGATTATTATCGACCTAGTGCACCTCATTTACTGACTCTGTTGAAAGAAATAATGAATTCAAGATCTTAGGTCTAATCATTTTTGTTCCCTTAACGTGGGACTGCATTTTGTTTTTTATTTTTTCTCTCAGAACAATCAGGTAGTTGGGGTGGGCAGTGGCTCGACTATCGTCTACGCTGTGGACAGGCTGGGTAAGACATTTAATCTAATATTATCCACTTATGCTTATATAATAATACCTAATGGATGGTATTTTCTTTCTAGCTGAGAGGGTGAGAGAGGAGAAGCTGAACATTGTGTGTGTTCCCACGTCCTTCCAGGTCAGTATAAACCTTCATCTGCTGACATAACACTCTTTAAACACTATTAAACACTTGTGTTATAATGGATTCATTTGAATTGTTGATCTAGGCCCGTCAGCTGATTCTGCAGCATGGTCTCCCTCTTTCTGATTTAGACAGACATCCTGAGGTGAGTTTGGGAGGGGGAGCTGGATCTTATACAAAAATGACCGCTCAATATGAATGTTCAGGATGATGATTGGAAAGATGATTTAGACTACTTAACAGCTCAAAAAATGCCTGTTTAGAATTGAAGACTTTAGTATAGACCTATTCATTGGGCAGGCTGATTAATTGGATGAAATTTGACCTGATATTTTTAGTGCACGTTTAACTACTTAAGAAATTCTCATTCCGCCTTGTATCAGGCTTTGCTTTAGAGGTTTGGGTGGAACTGACAGATCTGCAGTTTCTTTCACTTGTTCTTCCATTTGGCCTAAAACACTGTGTCCGTGCTGCATGTCGACCACAAACACAGAGGTTTTTCAGATTTTACATCATGGCTTTCTGTCCATATTTCTATATTTCACTGAAAACCGAAAGTAACTCACTCTCTTGGTAAATGTTTACTTTGTGAATTCTTGTACCTGGGTATAATATAAGTCTACTACACCATTATGACTCAGTTTGCAAAGACTTATTTCCTACTAAAGCAAGGCAATATTTGACTCTGGTAAGCGTATCCATAGCAGACTGGTGAAAGTTGAGGTTTTCCTCCTTATTTGGCAAACAGGAAGGTAACAGCCTTTTCTCTGTTTCCTTTAGACAGCACCGATTTCAAAAAAATATTTTAGCTTTCTACTTGATAAGGAGCCAAATTTAATTGAAAGCCATTTTGCTAGCGGTAAAGAATGGCTTTAAATTGAACAAAAACATGTACATTTTCTCTCAATATTGTTAATTGGTTTTGGTAAGAACAATGGATAGTGAACAACATGTGTATAACAAATAAATACATACAAAAAATCCAGATGACATTACAAATAACATAAAGTGCCTAAATAGAGTGCAGAGGAAGACAAATCATGTTTACAAGGGGATAGAAAACAGAAAAATCATCATTTAAAAAAAATATGTAAAAATCTTTAAATTCTGTTATGTAAATTTTGGAGAAATGTTATGCTTGCGTTCACAAATGTAAGAAATATTGTCAATTGAGATTAACTGAACGCAGAACAAAATCGTCATATCAAATCTTAGAAATACATTTTCAAACTTTCACTTTGAAATCTGCTGTTATGTTAATGTTAATGATGATTTCAAATAAATGCTATTCCGGACAAATTGTTTGATTTGAGTGCCCTAAAGAGTTTTTTCATTTGTGACTTCTAGCTGGATGTAGCAATTGATGGAGCTGATGAAGTGGATGCTGCTTTGAATCTGATTAAAGGAGGAGGGTGAGTTCAGAAAACCTGTTTAATTCAAGGATATCTTCCAATTCCTCTTCCATGTTCTTTTGTGTGAAACCCCTAAGGTGTCATCAGGTCTTGTGTCATGTCCTTCCTTTCCTCCTTCAAAACAGAGGATGCTTAGCCCAGGAGAAGATCGTAGCTGGTTGTGCCAAACACTTCATTGTCATCGCAGACTATAGGTATGTGGCTAATGCTTTTATCCAAAGCAACTTTTACACTTCATCAGTTCATGCATTTCCTGGGAACCCACCCATGGTGTGTTGCTCTACTGTTTGAACTACAAAAAATTCAGTATATATTTAGCAGCCCATAATTACCACTGATCATGAGATGCGTGTAATAAAGCGTTTAACAGAAGTCATGTGTAATTATAACTCAGCTTTGTGGTTGTTATAATTATGTAAGAGTCTTCTACTACATGTACAAACTATAGGTTCAGATGTGCTCATGTGATGTCATTTTGTTTTTTGTGTGGGTAGAAAGGACTCAAAGGCTCTGGGGCAGCAGTGGAAGAAAGGTGTGCCGGTGGAGGTCATTCCGATGGCGTATGTGCCCGTGTCCAGAGCCATTGCCCGGCGCTTTGGAGGAGAGGCAGTGCTGAGGATGGCAGTCAGTAAAGCTGTAAGAAGTTCATTTTTGTTTATTTGCTATTACAGTACATTAAAGGAGTAGTTCACTTTTAAAAAAAAAACTTTTGTTGATATTTTACTCACCCCCATGTCATCCAAGATGTCCACGTCTTTCTTTCTTCAGTCGAAAAGAACTTAAGGTTTCTGATGAAAACATTCTGGGATTTTCTCCATATAATGGACTTCAATGGGAACCAAACTGTTTAAGGTCCAAATGAGAGTTTCAGTGCAGCTTCAAAGGGCTTTAAACGACAACAGACGATGAATAAGGGTCTTATCTAGGACCCTTCGAGTCATGACTCGAAAAAAGATTTGTTCATTTTGATGATTTTGAGTTTGAATAGGAGTCACGAACGCTCATCACAGAACAGAGCAAGGCAAGTCTGGTGTCGTTTAAAGCCCTTTGAAGCTGCACTGAAACTCTCATTTGGACCTTGAACCGTTTGGTTCCCATTGAAGTCCATTATATGGAGAAAATCCTGGAATGTTTTCATCAAAAACCTTAATTTCTTTTCGACTGAAGAAAGAAAGACGTGGACATCTTGGATGACATGGGGGTGAGTAAATTATCAGCAAAAGTTTTTTTTTAAAAGTTAACTACTCCTTTAAGAAATTACAATGTCCTGTCCTAAAATATGAACTCCTCTCTTTATCTGAATTCATTTGAACTGTATCAACCCAAAGAGCTTCATTTATCAGACAAAATAACTAAGGGTGTGTTCACACTTGGCTGGTTTGGTTTAAAACATTTGTGAGGTTTATTTAAATTAGTGTGAATATCCGAACTGGTGCACACCAAATAAGCAGACTGAGACCCACCTTTTCAAGGGGTTTCATCCACTTCCAAACAAACTCTGTTGTGCACCAGCAGACCATAGACCAAAGACAACCGAAAACAGGATGACCTTAAAGAGGACAGGATGCTCAAAGATTCCCGGTTCCTCTCATCATTAAAGCAGTGTTGCCTCATTACAGTTTAGTACAGGAATCAGAAACACCGTCTCCTTGCAGCAGATCTTTGTTGTGCAACCGAGGAATCCCTACTGCTGTTTTGACTCTTAATCATTTTATAAACTCTTTACGAATTCTCAGCTGGTAAAAAGTAAACACCATCATATGTACACATACAACGAGCGCATTTAGCCCAGCACACAGCGCTGTTTTGGGTGTTCAGTAAGTTTCATTTCAAAATATACGCCATTAAAGGCTTTTTATTTTTAATCTTTAGGCCTGGAGTTCAAAGTGACCGTGTGAACGGCCGCTAAGCAAACCAGGACTAAATATAATATTTCCTGTTTTGGTCAGGACCAAAAGAACCAAGAGAACCAAACTACAAGTGTGAATACAACCTTAGTCAACATTTCTGTTTCTGCAATGTTTGGGCTGACAACATCCTACAGTTTATATATATGTATATATATACACACACGCACATTATTTGTCATGCTCCCTATCTGGACATTTTTGGATATGTGTTGTATTCATCTTATGATTTGATTCTATTAAATTTAGGGTCCAGTGGTTACTGATAACAGCAACTTCATTCTGGATTGGAAGTTTGAGCATGCTCAGAACTGGAAAGAGGTCAACACAGCCATTAAGATGATCCCAGGTGTGTACAGATGAACAGAATACCACTGTTCTTCCATCATCTTTCTTCTCTCTACATACCAACTGTTCATATTTATTTAAAGGAGTAGTTCACTTTAAAAAAAAAAAAAAAAAACTTTTGCTGATAATTTACTCACCCCCATGTCATCCAAGATATCCATGTCTTTTTTTCTTCAGCCAAAAAGAAATTAAGGTTTTTGATGAAAACTTTACAGGATTTTTTCAATATAATGCACTTCAGTGGGAACCAAACAGTTCAAGGTCCAAATGAGAGATTCGGTGCAGCTTTAAAGGGCTTTAAACGACACCAGACGATGAATAAGGGTCTTATCTAGCAAAACTATCGGTCATTTAAAAAATAAATAACAGTTTAAGTTTTAGAAGCACAAATGTTCGCCTTGCTCTGAGCGTTCATGACTCTCCTGTTCAAACTCGTTCGTCAAAATGAACAAATCTTTTTACGAGTCATGACTCGAAGGGTTCTAGATAAGACGCTTATTCATCGTCTGGTGTCGTTTGAATCTGCACTGAAACTCTCATTTAGACCTTGAACCATTTGGTTCCCATTGAAGTCCATTATATGGAGAAAAACCTTAAATTATTTTCGACTGAAGAAAGAAAGACATGGGGGTGAATAAATTATCAGCAAAAGTTTTTTTTTTTTTTTTTTTAAAGTGAACTATTCCTTTAAGACTTTAGTAATTAATTAATTTAAAATGTTTTTGAAAGTCTTACTCACCAAGGCTGCATTTATTTGAAATATTATCAATTTAAAACAACTGTACGACTGTGTTTATATCTCTTTTGCCGGCCCCAAACCTCTGAAACGGTAGTGTATACATATATCCCTAAATACCATCAATGAATGTTCTCTCTTTTATGAAGGTGTGGTTGAGACGGGTTTGTTTGTGGGGATGGCTGAGCGGGTGTACTTCGGTATGGAGGACGGAAGTGTCAAGACTAGAAATCCTCCTGTGAACTGAGAAGATCCTTCCTCTGCTCTTGTGATAGACCAGCCTGCACACCTCAAGTGCCGTTCACATACACAGACTCTGGCAGCTTTCCCTACAGGTTCTTTTATTTTCTGGTACAGAAACCGTTAGATGTCTGATCAGGACTGGTGTGTACACTAAATGGGGGATTTTACACATCAATGCAACATTAGGTCTTCTGGCCTTTCCTGTTTCTTCTCTCATGTCTTCTGTCTGAAGAATTGTGCTAATGTAAGCTGTAGTTACGGTCCTTGCGTCTACTGTGTCATTTTACCTTCTGTGCTTCTTTACTTCTTTCCATGCTCTTCCGTGAATGTTGTATTGCATGAATGTCTATTCACACGCATGAATATAGTGGCCTGTAATGTATCTGTGCCTACGTACATGTATATTTTCACAAAGAATAGTTGCTAGCTATCACATCGAAATTGATCGTCAATATGTTTTCTGTGTATTGTGGTTTTTTTTTTTTTTTTTGTATGATCATTTTGAAACCGTTTTGGAGAATCTGGTAGATTTGCTCAGATATTCCAACATGAAACCTCAAGTGAAACTTGTGGCCTTTTCCTGCACACAGTGGTTAGTTTAATTCATTGATGAATCGTTTCAGAGCATTCTGCCCCTGGACAAAATAACTATTTGAAATGATGTAAAATGTCACTCATCTTTTGATATTGATTTTGTTTTTGTATAATTTTTCGATGTGCCTGTGGCCATCAGCACAGTGTTGTTGAGGGATGAAAGCAGCAGTGAGTTGGTGGCACAGCTTAAAGCCTTATCTTCTGTACATTTATTGACTACTCAGTTCTGTTAATGTTAACCTCCCAGAGGTCACTGTGATTTTGGGGGATTGTACTTGAAGAAGTACAATACCAGCTTGTTTCAAATACCAGCTTGTTTTACTCTCCCAATTTGTACTGTTATACTGAAGTTTTCAAATGTTGTGCTCCAGGCTGAAAATTAATATTAAACTGGACCAATCAATTATGAACTGTCATTTTTATCTGACGTTTTATTAGATCAGAATGGCTCAGTCAAACATGAGTTAACAGATTATTTATCAGGCCACAAGAGGGTGCCATTTACATTGCACAGCACAGTAGGCAAAATTCCTGACTACAAAAAGTTAACGTAGTGAAGTGAAAGGCTGAAGGTGCCTAAATATTTGTAAACGTATTATTTTGTAATGTTAGTAGTGTTATTACTCGTCTTTTATTACAATCTAATAACGTGACGTAATATGTGTACATTATTATTTTAATATAATTAAAGGAAAATCCACTTACTAATTTTGTGCAAGGGATGAGCAGAGGTTTATTTTCCTATCAAAAAGCCCGGAAATTAAATTGTCAAAATATGTCCGTAAACACACGGCCACGTCGTTATTTCCATCCTTATACTTTTTACCCAATCAGCTTCACTCAAAAAGAAGTAGCAACGCCCCTCTGTTAGAAATCGCAGTAGCGATTTTGATTGATAGCGTGTCCGACCAATGGATTAACTATAATTCTTTCGCGGTTTCCGTAAACATACCAATGAAATATATTGGAGTCAACCCTTGATATTTATAGGCTGAAACTTTCGCTCTGGCTGCCTTTCCTCCCGCCTCTATTTCTGAGTGACAGGGAAAGCGCCCAATGGAATGAAGTGCATAAGAGTGGCGACACGTCAACAGACTCTACTGTAAAAGACAGTTGTAGGACGCAATCAAAATCTGCTTAGTAGACGAGCATTGAAGATTGACAAACACTCGCACCAATCAGCACACACTGCAGGGATTTGCTTCCATTCGCAGCCAATGGGCGTTTGGATACGAGGCGGGGCTTTTACGTTACCACGGCACGGCCAACGTCATGTATAAAGGGAATAACATGGTGCTGTTGAGTGCATGTTTACGTTAAGAGAGGACAACAGAAAGAGATCAAATAGCCTTACGAATTTATTTGTAGAACGCATTTTATAGTCTAGTTTTTAAAATTCACTTTGTATTTTGGTATGTGATTGCCTAACTACTCATGTGCCACTTGTCCCAATGGAAAGGGGGTTTCAGTTTGGAAATGTGTGCATATCTCTGCTGCTGCTGCTTGTTCTGAGAACGTTAACGGTTACTTTGCAAAGTCAGTCTCTCTCAGAGAGAAAACTCGAAGTGGCCCCGACGCCAAACATCGAGGCGGCGGAACATGCTGCCGTTATGGAGCGGCCACTTGACAGCGTCGGAGGAGCCCCGGGTTTCGGAGAAGTGACCGTGGAGGACGACGACAACGGCTCGACAGGAGAGAGCGAAGAGACGACTGGAGACAGCGACGCAAACTTACACCAACACCGGAGGTAGGCAGTCAAGTTACCCCCGAGTAATAGTAGAAGTTTCCCGTTTGTCCGGGTGTGAGACACGTTCTTAGGTTGTCACGTTGCTTTCTGACGTGTTATTCAACTTCAGTAAAGTTGTGAGCTGGAGTTCGTGATGGGCGGATGTTTGCAGCAGTCGAGCTCTCCCTGCTGGTCCACCAATATGTGCGAACATTTACATTACCAAATTAAAACCACGTGACAGTTGCATGATTATTTTAGTCATTTGATTGTCGCTGTCATTTATAACATTGGCCACTTGTGGGCAGTTGGCAAAAAAAAAAAAAAAAAAATTCCAATAAGTTACCATGACATGGAGATACTGATGACTGACAGAACACTCATCTCCCCTATCGCGCTCAATAGATCGAGTGTATGTTTATGAACTTGAAAATCATACTTGTTGGACTGCCTTATGTTATACGCACAGAACTGTTTTTCTGGAGTTCTAAACTTGTTTTACCGCTATCACTCACACCCTAAGGGGACTTTCTGTTTAGGAAAAACTGCTGCAGTGTTTTGACTGTGGGCGTGCGATGTATGTCAGCCTGACCTGACGCTGACGGAGAGACTGACTTAAGTATTATTTGTAAACACGCTTAGAAGTTCATAAGTTTCAGTTTTGCAGTAATGGAGACGTGTCTTGTGAGCTTTTCACATTAACAACGCAGTTTTATTGGCGTGTATGGGAAATATTTCTTTTGTCATTAGTTGTCCATTTATAGTACACTTATTACAGAGGAAGCCGGTGTCCTTCAGTAGACTGCGGTCTATGGAGGCAGTGAACGCTGCGCTGACGCACTTAACCGCTTCTCCGCGCGCGACTAAAGACGCGTCTCCTGCGCCCAACGTGCTCACCAACTTTCCGGATGTTTTGTTTTTGTTTGTGGCGGGAATTAATTTTCCTGCTCCGCAGACTGAAATATCAGTGTGTTACCGCATCCGAGCCATCTGCCCCACCTTAGAAATAATCAATGTCGACTAGGAGGATGGGGAGGTCATGTGATCTTTCTTTAAAACTAATTCAAGATTAATTGTTTAAAGAACTGTTTGTTTTGGTGCCTTAGTTACTTTTTTGAATCTACAATTCTGACCAACACCTTTAATTATTGTTTTTCCTCCTAGCATTTTTTTTTCTAAGCTCAATTTTGTTTTGGGTGGAAATGTTTGTTCTGCAAATGTCACAGGACCTGATAATATCCTGGAGAACACATGATCTGCTCCACTGCAGTAAAAAACATTCCGTCACACCTTGCTTTACCATCTGCATGCTGTCACATCGATGTGTCGCACCCATTCATGGAGGATTTTTCTATACAAGCACAAGTTGGCATGACCAGTATCGGCTCCTGATATTTACAGGCTTTAGAAAAATTACATTTTAAATAAGGAATTAATAATGAGGTATAGAGAACATATGCAACCTGAAGATTCAAATAATATGAAAGGGAGCAAACAAGACAACCTCTCTGAGTTACAGCGAGGAATCCCAGGGTGTAGATGCCTGTTTTCAGAATCTTCGAAAACCTTTGAAGGCAAAATGTGACTCGTTCTGTTACATCTGAAACTTCTGTATTTTCTATATTTTGGTGTTTTGACTTGGGATTATGATAACCATATGTTTAGGAGGTGAACCAAACACCTTTGACACTTAATCAATTAAATTTTATTTTATTGATATCTTTTACATATATTCTGTAAATGTTCTATTATATTGTTTATTATATATATTTTAATAGATTTTTTTTTGTATATTATTTCAAGGGTTAGTTCACCCAAAAAGGAAAATTCTGTCATGATTTACTTCTTATAATAGGGGTGTAACAGTACACAGTCTCTGTTCGGTACCTACCTCGGTTTTAAAGTCACTGGTCGGTACGTTTTCTATACAGCAAAAAGAAAGAAATGCCTGAGAAATTTCCTATTTGTTAAAAGAAAAAATATTTTTAAATAAGTTTGAGTTTTCCTACATCTTGAGACTTTTAGGTTTATAAATGGGAGTCATCTTTGAAGGATGAACAAATAATGTTTTGGTCATCACATTAAAAATAACTTTTACATATATATTTATTTCTATAGACCCCTTTTGCGCCGACGTCACAGTAACGTCACGGCGCAAACTGGAGGCAAAACAAAGTGAAAACTGGAGGCGGCCAATGTAAACCAGCACAGATTCGGCTACATAATAAGGAGCTTAAATTACTTCGATTATTTTTAAATGTCATCTTATTGTGTTGTTTGGTGCAAGTATCAATGAAAAATGAATATGCTGTATCTGGATTTTTTATTTCTAGAAAATATTCTCATGATTAAAATCGCACCGTAATGACACTCTTTACATTGTCGTCTTCTCTGCCCTGGCTCGGCAGAACTGCGGATCATACACACAAGTCTTGTACAGGACCATTCAGCACATAGTTATAGGCATCTAAAGATTTATATGCCCTCAGTTAATCTACAGATCGGTTTCTCTATAAGGTAGGTGTAGAAGTCAGGCCTCTCACCCGAGGTAACGTAACGTTAATGCATTGATTGAGTGTGTAGGCGGCTACGGGTCGGCCAATCTGTTTCTGTCCGTTAAAAATAACTTTTGGAAATAACAATCGCGGTCCTGGACAGTGAGTGACCTTACACATTAAGATAAAATCTGATTTTCTCCAGTCATGGTTAAAAAACAAGCTTTAGCATTAGTGAAGTGGCCAGAGGGATCGTTCTGCCTCCACCTAAACTCCGCCCACATAAAAGATTAGTAAATAGACAGTAAAAGATTGCCTGCATACTTCCCCTCTTGTCTATACGGTAATGTCTCTATTATGTGACAGAAAGTTGCGTAGTGATGACTCAATCGTTAGCCTATTTTTCACAAAAACAGCATCTATGGAGCAATAATGTAAGATACAAAGTAATGGAGCGTTTTATACATTGTCATGTTTCTTTAGAAATAAATAATGGCCAAATGAAGTCTTTGGACACATCAGATGTAAAGTTATTTGCTGTCAAAGTGACGCCGAAATGAATGGGAGTCAATGGGATGCTAACATCAGGTGAAGTTCTGCTACAATGGCGGCTCCCGCGAGGCTTCAACTTTCGGCTGATGGATTACCCCCTTGCGCTGTACAGATGTTGCTAGTCCGAACTGATAAACGATCCATGAAGCACATAATGAGAAGCGCAGTTTCGATCCACGTTCATTATGCTTGCCATTCGATGTTGCGCAACGTTGTAATGCCCGCGCCAGCGTGAATTTTGTCTGTAGAAAAAATGGTCCAAGGAATCGTTTGTTTTGTATGCGTACCGAACCAGAAGTCTCGAACCGAAACGGTTCAATATGAATACATGTACCGTTACACCCCTTTATATATATATATATATATATATATATATATATATATATATATTTATTTATTTTGTGTTCTCTCTCTCTCTCTATATATATATGTATATATATATATATATTATACATGTATACAGTGGGGCCAAAGTATTTAGTCAGCCACTGATTGTGCAAGTTCTCCTACTTAGAATGATGAGAGAGGTCTGTAATTTTCATTATAGGTACAGTTTAACTATGAGAGACAAAAAAATCCAGGAAATCACATTGTAGGATTTTTAAAGAATTTATTTGTAAATTATGGTGGAAAATAA